CATCCATAGCTACATTGTAAGAAGAGGTGAGATCGGCACTCATTTTCCGCTCCACATCGTTAACACTTTAACATACTTAGTGGATCGGTTTGGAATCCCCATTGAAGAATCCAATCCAGAAATTTGTGTTTTGGGATTCCTCCAGAGACCAAGGTACGACCGGCTTCCTGTTCTGAACTGAGATGCCTTTGTTACCATCAGGCCACCATTCGAAAGAGTCTTGTTAATAGGAGAGACATAGTGTTGTTGTAAGGTCGATCTGTAGATTGACTTGAGAATCCGACCGTGCAGCAGGGAGTTGCCAAAAGTTGTTCCTCCACAAGTCAGTCAGCTTTGGAAGATAAAGCTCATTCCCATATGATTGATGCAAGTAGCTCGATAGATTTCCAAAAGAAGACCAGTTATCCGATCTTCTCCCATCTCTCACCACCTTTATCCATAGGTATATTGGTTCTCTAATCTTCAAAAGTTTGTTTGCTTGCCTGGAGAACCTTTGTTTTGGTTTTACTATCCAGCATTGCTCACATTGTCTCAAGTAAGAATTTCAATTTTCTTTTGTACCAGGCAACCCAAACTGAACCTGCCTTGAAGGATAGAAGCCAAATCATTCCTAGCAGACAAGCTCTGTTCCAGTAATTTATTTCTCGTTTCCCCAATCCTCCTGTTTTCTCCAAGGTCAACTCTTGCTGTGTTTCTTACCTCACTTGTGCCTTTCTATAAGAAAGTACTACACAAAGATTGAATTTAAAGTGATGCACTGTTTTGGAATGACAAATGTGCTGCACCCGAAGTTAGTAACTCCCGCAATAATAACTGTGTTGATTAACAGCAGACCACCAGCAAACGAGAGAGACCTTGCTGCCCAAGATGTTGATCTGGATTTGATTCTCTGGAGAAGAGGTTCACAGTTGTAAGGAGGTCAGCTTCTTGGTACATAAAGCTAGACTTATATATCTGATTGATAGTCTTCTATGAGTTAAATCAGCACAAGTCTCAGTGTCACTGATCTCCTGTAGGGACAAGCCTGAGGAGAAGCAGGAAGTCTTTGTGATACTTAAAGCAAGCCCTGAGACTGCTTCGAAGTCCTTTCGCACCTGACGAGCATTTAAGACATAAGCCACAAATCCTTCTAGAAAATTGAGTCAGTCATTTGCAAAGCATGCATGAGTTAGCTTAGATCCTTCACAACCCGCATGGTAGCCTATTTTCCCTTCATTTGCAGCTTTATTCAAGTGGAATGACAGACAATTCATGACTGTCACAAATAGATAAAGGAGAAAGCGGGTCACTCTGTCTGAACCCTCTTTTTCTCTTTGAAGAACCCATGAACAGATCCATTAAAACCCACCGTGAAAGCTGGAGTGCAACTACACGCTTCAAGCCATCTTAGGAAAGATTCTGGAACTTCTAATCCTCTCAAACAAAGAAATTTGAATTCCCATCTCACATTATCAAATACTTTTGCAATATCAACCTTGTAATCTTTTTAGGCCCTCTATCTATATGATAACTGTTAACAATTTCTGCATCTAGCATTGTATTTTCTACTGACAATCTTTCTTTGACAAATGCAGTTTGGTTGGGCAAATATTAAATCAGGCAGGAGAGTCTTAGTCTTGAGAGAAGCAGCGTAGATATGAGCTTGTAAAGAGTGTTGCAGCAGGAGATTGTTCAAAATTCTGACACCTTGGAAGCTCCTGGTTTCTTTGGTACTGTAGTCAGAATATTGAAGTTTACTGCAGTTGGCATAAAGGAAGATCTGAAGAAATGGAGGATCCCAGCAGTTCCTATCAAACCCCATGCTGTTGTAAAGATACATGAGGTGAAACCGTCTAGGCCAGGTGCTTTATTCGGATTTAACCTCTTCAAAACTACCAACTCTCTTCTGCACTGGGTGGCTGAGACATGGATATTTTGAGGGAGGGAGGAGTTCTAAAATCAGTTAGGTGCTGGATTCAAAGTGGAGATAATGAGATCCAGGGCAGCACAGAAGGAGCTAGAAGATTCTGAAAATGCTCTGCAGCTAAACTGCTCATTTCCAGAGAATCTGAAATGATTATGCCAGCTTCAGTGGTGAAGGATCTGATAGAGTTCCTGTGAATTCCTAGACTCTGTAACCCTATAAAAATAATAGTGTTCTGATTCCCCTTCCTTTAGCCAATTGATCCTTGATCTTTGTCTGAAATAAGCCTCTTCTATGTGTTTAAGATAATATAACTGGTCTCGGATGTCTCTTTCTTGCTGGTATAGGGTTGGAGAAGAGGCATTTAAAGTTTGTGCCTGCACAACAAACAAGAAATTGTTGTCACTCTCGCTCTCCTTTGGATGTCAGAAAAGTTGTCTTTGTTTAGGGTTTTGAGAGGGCTCTTCATGGTTTTTAGTTTGTAGCTAAGAGAAGCTAGTGTGAGAGCGTCACTTCCTGCTTGAATCCAAGCAGCCTGAACTATGGAGGTAACAGAGGGTGTTTGGTCAGAGTGTTGAGGAATTTGAAGTGTTTGGGTCCACTTTGGTGTAATGGGCAGGCCATGTCTAGAATACATGGAGTATGATCTGAGAAGTCAGACGGCTTAAAGGTGGCTATACTGTTTGAGAACTGAGGGAGCCACTGTTCACAACCAGCCTGTTGAGGTTCTTTGCAATAGAATCTGCTGGTCGATTATTTGTCCAGGTTAGTCGAGTCCCTTGACACCTTAAATCTTCAACTTTCAATGTTTTGAAAACAATCTCTCAGCTCAATCATTCTAGTGGTATAGTGATGTACAGAGCGACTGGAGTATTCTCCTGGATAAATAAATTTGATTAAAGTCTCCTCCAATAACCCATGAGTGTTGATCTAGTGCGAGATTCTGCTTAAGGCCAATAAGCTCCACCCATAACTCATTCCTTTCTGTTTTCAAGTTTGAGGCACAAACGGCAGTATAGATGAACTTGTTGCTTCCTTTTGTTTGCAGTTCAGCCGTCATAGATTGTCTTGATTGATGGAGGATCCTTGTGGTGGCAGCTTTTACCTAATAAGAATTATCCTCCCATCATCATCTGATAAATGGTTAGAGGTAATACAACTCCATCCTGGGCATGAAGTAGCCACTATATGGTTCATTTTTGTCTCCTTCATATGTGTTTCCAAAAGAGCTCCAAAAAGTGGTTTAAGACCCTCCTTTGGGTAGGAGGGATCCCTCAACAGGCAGTGAGAAAGAATCATTTACTAGTTGGTCTTTAAAAAGTAGCAAAGTTTCTGACTGGGTGATATTTGTGGCAGGGGATTGGGAAGAGAAGATGAAGAGGAGTTTTGAGGGATGGAAGATGTGAAGAGAAAAGATGTGGAGGTGGTGGTTGTGGGGAGGAGGCAGAAGGTAGAGGGTAGGAAGAGGAAGTGGGGGGTGGGGGTGGGGAGATTGGTAAGAATCCAAACTGCAACGGAGACAAGTTGGAAGCTTTAGGAACTGATATTCTTTGTCGTTACCCTTTTGCTTGACTACTAAATTAGAACCTAAAGAACCATTAACTTTTGGAGTCCATGTAGGTGAGATTCTGGGACAATTTCGGATGAGGTGACGCATATGTTTACAGTGTGAACACGTAGGTGGCAACCAGGGGTAGTTCACTTTATTCTCTCTTTCAACCTCAATTAAGATTAGCCTCCACTTTTACATGAGCTTCACAAACACTAGTCAGTTACTTTGTCCAATCATCCATTTCCTTTGGTTCTCCCAATGGACCAGCTATGAAACCTAACCCTTCATTGTGAATCAGGTCAAATGGAACATTCTTCAAGTGAGCCCATAGATGTATTGCTTAAAGGGTGGGTATAGAATCAGCAGAGCTGCCAGTCCATGAGAATACATGCACCATAATATTGTCAACATACCATATACATTTCTGAAGCACTTTTGTCCTGATGTATTAACTTGGTATTCTCACTAGCATCTTCCTTTCTCTTGCATTACTATGGATTTCCAGTTTCTGACTCTTTCCCCACATGGTTTAGAGCATCCCTGATTAAATCATAGAAAGGAACTTTGCCAAAGAAGTAACCGGAGATGAACTCCTTATGCAAAGCTGCCACTCTCTGGAAAACTTCTTCTGGGACATCGACTCTGGGAGTGCCTGAAGGAGTGAAGGTCGTAGATCCCAATTTTTTGAGAGTTTTATCTGCTGATTGGTTTATTCTATTTGCTCAGGAGATTGCGTTGGGGCCACGGACAGGAGGAGACAGACCAGAAGACACGTGAGGAGTGAATGACCTGCTACCTCCACTTCAGGTAGCATAGTCTGAACAGTAATAGTGGCGGGTGTGAGGATGGGCTTAAGACTCAGGGGATTAGAGGTGGGGATGATGGGAGAGGGAGAAGGCCGCTTCCTAGATGACTTCTACATTCGGGAGCAGTAATTGGTGAAGATAAGGGTTTATCTGAGTCTGCCACATTGAGCTGACAATTCCCAAGCCCTTTTCCGATAATTTTTTGTGAGAACTTACAAGTAGCTTATTGAGATCTAACAGTACCGGCTCTATGAATTTTTCTGTTCACTTGACATTACCTACGAAAATCACGCCTATTGCCAATGCCAACAATCGTTTTCTTGCATGACATCTCTGAATCTCATCTAACAATCTCATCACTTTAAAGAAGGAAGTTTCTGTGAATGATACTTTAAAAATCCTAAATTCATACTCTTAACAGATTGATAAAGGTAGCAAAAAGTCAATACAAGTAATAACAAAAGATCACAAGAAATAGCAAAAAGTTTATAAAAGTGGCAAAAAGTTCAAAAGATTTTAAGAGATGCGTTCATGTCCATGTACTTCAATCCTCTTTATAACCTGTAAAAAGGATATTTGAAATATGAATTACAAATCTGTTGAGACACAAACAAACCAAGAAACCATATACGATGAGCTCATATGGGCTGAGAACATCAGAGAATACTAAAAATTAGAAGAAAGTCAAGAGAATCAACAATATAATAGCAATGAATCAATCAATATCAAATTAATAAATCCAATAGGTGCAGATTTAATGAAGGCATAAAGAGAGACCAAAGAGCTAGCAATGCATTTAGATGGCATGGCAACATAAAACAGAGACTAAGAAGCAAATTACCAAAATCAAGCCCAAATCTGCCAATGGAATTCGCCTACAGAAGTCAGAAATGAAGCTAGATTACTCTTCAGCCAGCAACCCCGGAAAAAATCAAGAGAGTATGGTTTAAATATCCATTTCAATGAGCAATACCTGATTTAACTAGTCATGCCCAGCTTTAACATCCAGTTGGTGAGTTGTGTATCTATACTATCTGCTCCAGCGGAGCCTTCAGAACGAAATAAGTTCAATGAAGTAGCAGCAATCATATGATTTTCAAGATCTCCAAAGATAGGCCACTTTTGTTTCAGATCTTCAACAGATACACTCTCAACCTTACGTCCATGTAAGACACAATAACTAACTATATTATCCACAAAATCCATGGATTCAAGAGGAGTGAACCCCTGTGAAGCAAAAGAAAAAATGTGTTAAATTGCTGGATTTGGCTACAAACAGGGCAGACTTTTCTTAATTACCTTTTGCTCAAGATAAGTAACTAAAATAGCTTCACTGAGGTGTACAACTGGTAGACATTTCTTAATTCTCTCTTCGTTGAATGAGGCATGCAGGAGAAAATCCACAGAGAGTTTTATCATTCCGGCTATAGTGCTAAAACTATCAAACAAGAGTCTTCTATCATCTTGAAAGTCGTAATCGTAAGTAAGTGGAGACAGCTCTTTGGTATTTAAGCCGATGCAAAGAAAACCTTTAACCCTTTCAACCTTTTGTCTAACTATCTCCATTGGATGCGGGTATCTCTGTTGCATAATGCATGACCCGTTTGAAACGGAACAGCTCGAATTTATGAAGCCACACTCCTCTGAAGACCACAGTACACAGGTCGCTGCAAGACCAGACAGATGGGTAGCTGTCCTGGCAGTAGAATGTAACAAGTCGACCACAAAATCCCGATCTGTAACTGCATCAATGCTATAAATAGTGGAGAAAATGACTTAGTGAAGACAGAACTCAAGACTTAAGGAAGAGAGCTAATGTAACAAATTCAAGAACTAGAAATAAACCTGTTTCTCATAGGCCCGGTAAATTCAAGAGCTTGTGCGACACCAGACCTGTCAATAGGTAGATAACTTCCAGCAAAATCACAGGATCCTAAGGGACAAAAATTTAGCCTCATCTGACACTCAAGATAACGAGTACAATCACGGTCAAGCTGCCAAATAAAAGCACAAGTCAGAGAGCAGCTGCATATATAAGCATAAACAACAACACATAGAGAAATTCCAGACCTGCTCTACATAGGCTAAGAGGATATGTGCGAGTGAAACAGAATAAGCCTTCCGAAGATTCGTAGAAAGACTAGTAATGATCAACGTCTTGTTCTTCAAAGCCAGCTGAACCAATGCGATCTGCAGGTTTTTGATCGTGCTAATGATGAAACAAATAGCATTGCGACACCAAATCCTGCTCACTGTTGCAGACATGTCATTCACACTAACCCCTCTTTGAAGTTTTTTAGCAAGATCACCAATTGCATTGGTCAAGCCTGCTTCGACATTCATTTGTACATCTTCTACATCAGAATAAATTTCTAGAGATCTTTCAGTGATCTGAAGCCGAACAGTATCAAGCCCTTTCAATATTTCATCTCTCTCACTATCAGCTATGAATGACTGTAAAAGAAACCACCAAAATTAGAAGAATTAAAAAGAAAATACCATTAGATTCCAAAAGAGAACAAAATCGATAACTTGCCTTGCTGGCTAACATTATACAATGTGCTCTGCAAGCGTCGACATAACTCGTGTGCAGAATAGTATCAAGAGTAGTTACTGGCTTGAACAACAACTTAGGATTTGGAGGCGTGCAATGCAACCCTTTTATCTCAACGAAATGAGATACAAATGGGATGTTCATAGCTATCTTAATGTAACCTTCTACTCCTCGATCTTTCCCCTTCGAATCTTGTGCTTCCAAGAAACGAACTCCATTCATCCTACCAAGACCGGTGAGAAGCATAACATGATAAACGTTCACATGCTCTAGTTCATCAATCCTTGGCGCGTAAATCTCCTGCATAAGAATACAATATGAATAAGCACTAACAATAACTAGAGACAGTTACTTCAAATGTCATTTAACTTTTAAAACTTACACTTCCAATATTTCCAAAGCTCTCAAAAACTGGAACAGCAATAGCCACAGGCGAACGTCTAAGGCAGCGAAGTAAATCATCGTTAAACTTTGTAAGATTTTCATACTCTTCTACTCTATGAACAATCAGATCCTCCACTTTGAATCTTGACGCATTAATCTGGTTAACAAAATTGAAATACAAGTATTAAGTCATTTCTAAAAACTCCAAATAAAACAATAATTCTACACTAATATACCTCTACAGCTTCATTTGCAGCACCAAGCTTGTACGTTAGTGGACAAAGTCTATCTAGAACCGTGCCTTCATTAATCAAAAATGGTTTCGCGCTAAGGAGGTTATCTATGGCTCCTTTCGGAAAAAGGTTGTCCTTGCAAACACCATTGAAAAGGTACTGGATTGATAAAGATTCTTTCTCATGAAGAATTCCCTGAGTTCTTCCTAGTCCTGTTAGATGTCTGGAGAGACCAATTGTCCAGCAATTATCGATCTGCTGGTCCAAAATCTCATCAAGAACACGTGGTTTTGAGGTTCTGTAACTTTCATAATAATCCATCTGCCAAAAGGAGAAAACTTAGTGAATATGGGCAGTTTAAAGATAACCAAGTAGCAGATAAACACAGATAACTAAGAAACTAAACGATTTGACCCACATTTTTAACGAGTTACTCCCATCAGACAAATATCAGAGAGTTTAACGTGATAGAAACAAAAAAAAAAACTATTCAAGCACTACAAATCCAAAGCTCTAAATTCAATTTTTCACTAATATAAGCGATAAAGTGTGAAATAAAAGCAAGGAGAGAAGAATAAGAAACCATGGAAGTAGGAGAAAACCCTATTCAAGCACTGTAAATCCAAAGCTCTAAATTCAATTTTTCACTAATATAAGCGATAAAGTGTGAAATAAAAGCAAGGAGAGAAAAATAAGAAACCATGGAAGTAGGAGAAAACCCTATTCAAGCACTGAAAATCCAAAGCTCTAAATTCAATTTTTCACTAATATAAGCGATAAAGTGTGAAATAAAAGCAAGGAGTGAAGAATAAGAAACCATGGAAGTAGGAGAAAACATCCAATCTTTAGATCGCAACTCAAGAGGATAAGAATATTTTCTGAATCGAACAAAATTTGAGTCAGATACACCCTAACACAACACTACTTTACTCTTTTTCTCTCTGACGAACAACCTCTAACATATAATGTGAGATAAATGTGTATGGGCTGTGAAATTTAGCCCACTAGTTTTTATCTCAAAGATTTATCCTACGTGACAGTGTTGTTTTTTTGAAACAAGTAACTTCTTTAATATGCCAATTGGAATCTTTTCAAACCTATTGAAATTGCAATTCTTTAAATTTCCTTGTCAATCTTTTACTTCGTTGTAGTTTCCAAAAATCGGTTTTGTTTTGATAAAATTATATTACAATATATGTTATTAAACCAAGTAATAAATCATTTTCTTTACAAAAAAACAAATGGATCAACAGACAATTTTGGAACAATCAGAAAAGATTTATCAAATTTCTCAAAAAAGTGGATGAGGAGGCCTAATTTTAAAATTAGAATAGTTAAAAGAGAAAACCGGTTTTTAGGAATTAGGATGGTTTTAATGATTAATAGCAACAAGGAACGAATGAGTCAATTAATCTACTTTTGTTACTTAAGGGAAAAACAGGATTATTACTTACAAAAATCTCTTGCAAAATGGAGGAGGCCGTGATTTGTCAAGATTGGTTAAAATTCATCGGAGATTGGCCACGGTAAGCCATCGGTTGGACACCGTAGGGAAGATTGCTACGAATTAAAGAAAAAAAGAGGGTCAAACATTAGATGTGTAACTAGAGGAGGAGGTTTGATTATAAAGAACAAATAGATCTATAGAACTTCTGTTAATAGAGCGAATAACATGTAACTTTACCAGATCTCTTGCGAAATGGAGGAGGCCGTGATTTGTCAAGATTGGTCACCACCGGTGGGGATTGACATCGAAAATTCACCGGAGATTGACCACGGTAAGCCATCGGTTGGCCACAGCAGGGAAGATTGCTACCAATTAAAGAAAAAAGAGACTCAAAGATTAGATGTATAACTAGAGGATGAGGCTTGATTATAAAGAACAAATAGATCTATAGAACTTCTGTTGCTACAGCGAATAACATGTAACTTTACCAGATCTCTTGCGAAATGGAGGAGGCCGTGATTTGTCAAGATTGGTCACCATAGGTGGAGATTGACATCGAAAATTCACCGGAGATTGGCCACGGTAAGCCATCGGTTGGCCACAGTAAGGAAGATTGCTGCGGATGAAAGAAAAAAGAGAGACAGAGAGTCAAAGATTAGATATATAATCAGAGGAGGTTTGTTTATAAAGAACAAAAACTTGTTAGCAAAAAATATAATCATAACTTACCAGATCTCTAGCGAAATAGAGGAGGCCGTGATTTGTCAAGATTAGTCACCATCGGTGGATATTGACAACGGTGATTCATCGGAGATCGGTAAGCCATCGGTTGGCCACAGTAGGGAAGATTGCTACGGATGAAAGAAAAAAGAGAGTCAAAGATTAGATTATATAACTAGATCCATAAAAGAACAAATAGATCCAACAAACCTCTGTAAATATAGCAAAATAACATAATCCTTACTTACCAAGATCTCTTAACATAGTCGTAGATTAAGCCATCGAAGTCTTAAACTGTAGGGAAGATTGCTGCGGATGAGAGAGAGAAAGAGAGAGAGGGACAGAACATTAGATAGAGGAGGAGATGGGAGTTTTGCCGAAGAGGGGTGGGGAATAAACATCTTTGCTAATAAAGAGGTGCATGCATTTTGCCGAATATCACGCGCCTGTTAAAATCTTTCCGAAACGGTCTCAATTTATAATATTTATTATTTATGATTAAAGATTGGGTCAACAACAATTTCGCTAACAAAGAGGAGATAAATGGTAAGTACAAGTAAATTCACCAAAGGTGGAAATTCTCGTATCATCTGTCAAATTCATATTTAACGGCCTTACCAAAACGTCTGTAGTTTAAATTTACTACTTTTATTAAAAAAAAAAGATTAGTTCGACAGCTTTTCACGTCATCTGTAAATTACCCCCGGCTTCAACGCAAAAAGCTCGTGAAACGTACATCTTTTGCGGCTGTATTTTATACTATAATAATAATTAACCGAAATAATATTCCCTTTTTCCTCTTTTCTTTTTAATTCAAAAAATTAACATCCTCTTACTTTTTTTATATGCGTAGATGTATTTAGTGATTGTGAATTCCATTTTTGATAGTTTCTGGATGTTCTATTAGTTTAGCATATTCTATATTCGTTATAAGATTTGAAACTAAAAGATTGAGCAAATAAATTTTCGAAATATCATTTCTATAATTTTGAATATTTGTTTCTAAACTGGTCACTCTCATACAATTGTCAAATCTTTAAAATGATGAAATACTTTAAACCATAATAAGATATCTTTTGTTAGGATTTTAACTTAAGTGTGTAAGTGTGTAACTATCCTATATATATGTGTATATATATATACAATATGTTAATGTGTTAATAATTTTTGTTTTAACATATAACGATATAATTAAAGTGATAAGTTATATTAATATATAGGGATTGAAAATAAGAACGCCATAGTAATATCATATGATTTCTGATATATTATAAATATTTAACCACTAGATAACAACCCGCACATAGTACAGGACAAAACGATTATTAACCAATTTTAATGTATTGATGATATTAAAGGTATTTGGTTTTTATATTATTGGATAAATAGTAGTGTATTAATGATTATCAAAATTAGTGAAATTTTTATTTATGTATTAATATTTATGTTTATCATAATTTATGATATATATCTTGGTATATTAATCAATATACAAAATATTAAGTACTCTATTTTTTATATCTTAATTGCATATTTTAATTGTATTTTTTGTTTTAATTGATTGAGTAAAATAAAAAACATAAATTAAGTGGAAAAAATAAATATAAGTAAAATTAATAGCAAAATCTGTAAATATCTTAATAAATGTTGGGTTTTTAATTAAATAGATTGAGAAGCTCTATCAGAACGACACGTCAACATGACATTTTTGTTAATCACACATGAAAATAAAATTATTTTTAAAAAATGTTTCTCAATTAATATATAAGGGATGTTCAGTTTTGTAAATCTGTTCATATTATGTTAAAACGAATTAAAATAGTTTATTTGAACCCGATGGTAAATATCCAGAATGATCAGTTAGCTATAGGCTCCACGTACGTAATTGTCAATGATCTTTACTTATTGATGATAACTACGACGTCAATGATCTTGCTAAAACTAAAAGAATCTTACACCAATAATTATGAATCGGATAAGATCTATCTAGAAGAAAGGGGTGTCTAAATAAAAGTTGTGTTATCAGAAAATGTTTTTCTACAAACAATAAGATTTGATCACGAAACCTCCACCAACTTCAATTTCTGAAAATCGGTACAATTTTTTTTTTTTTTTATTATAATAGTGCTACTAGGAACTCTCATGGGGTAAAAGTTTCAAGATGGAATATGATTATTGAGAAATTAAACCAATTAGACTTCTCCTTTTTTAAAAAAAAAAGAAAACAAATTTTAGAACGCAATAGTTTATGTTAGTGAGCCAATATTAGGATTCAAATTTGAAATGTTTGATAAAAAAGAAAAGAGAAAAAGAATCCTGTGAAACTCTCTCAGATAAATGTTTCACAGGATTTTTTGATTTTTAACCTAAGATCCTAAGCTAAGTCTTTGCATAATACTCCTCACCAAAAAAAAAAAAAAAACTCCTCACCAAAAAAAAAAAAAAAACTCCTCACCAATAGAGGTGGTCTTAGTGTGTTAGAAATATTATCGTGTGGGTGCTACGTATCATTGATGTTGTGTTAGTAATTAGGAATATAGTATATCATTAGGTTTCTGATTTCTCTCTAAGAAAATAAAATGTGGTTAAATTGCGTCCAAATAAAAATAAAAATAAAAATTAATATATTTTTCTTTAAATGTGTAAATCCTAATTATTCTAAGTTTCATCTGCCACGCCAGCTTTTTGCTGGGCAAAGTAAGAAAAGAATATGTCGTCTATGTACTTGTCTAGGAAGAGGAAAAGTTTTAATTCCGGTTAATGGTTGGGTGCATCCGAATCGAACCGGCGCAAACCAAAAAATCGAAAGGAGATTTTTAGTTGGGTCGGTGCGTGATAAAAGGAAATCAGACTTTGAACAAAAAAAAAAAAAAAAAGGCGTCACGGAATCAATGCAGAAATAAAGAGAGAAAAGACAGTTTTAACCTCTAAAGCAAAGAAAAAAGGATAATAAATAGTTTCGTCGTCGTGGTCGTCCTCTGAAATCCCTAAAATTGAAATCCCTAAAATCGGAGGAAAAAATATATTGATCCTAGGGTTATCGACTCTTCTCAACCTCGCCATGGACATGGGTATGTTCAGTCAGCCACCTCCCGTCTACGGAGCCTTGCAAGTAATCTTCCTCTCCTAATCCTTATGGCTCTCTCTCTCTCTCTGTTTATCAATTAATGGTTTCTGATTAGATCTTTTGTACTTTTTTAGGGGATGAACTTTTTTGCTTCTAATCCTGAGATGAAAGCCTTTTTTGAGAAACCAAGACGCAGGTAAATTGATGCTTTGATTTTTTCGAGATTTGTATATGCGAAGATGTTTTCTTCATCATGTGTTGATTGATTGAATTATTATTATTGTAGTTGGGTTATTGACGTTGAGGGCTTCGACACTTCTCTTCCTGCGGATGAGATGGAGGAGGCGTTGATCAATCATTTCAAGTCATGTGGAGCAATCCTTAGGGCTTCTGTCCGGAGACATCCTGACAACGGCCTTGCTACTATCGTCATGGTCGGAGACGACGCTGATGAGAAGGTGATGCAACTTAATGGAACTGAATTGGGAGGAAAGAAACTTGTTGTTAAGGCCAGGCCGTATCCCAGAATGGATTATAGGCATCTTAATCTTCCTTTTGCCTCCTCATCATAAATTTGGATCGAGGTACAATGCAACCTGCTTTGTTTTTATCACTTGTTGGATACAATGCAACCCCCTTTCCTTTGGCTCTTTCTTTCTTTACCATGTTTGTTAAGTAAGCTCCATATGTATGACGGTTGTGTGTGGATGATTTAAGTAAGTATATGCTCTTTCTTTCTTTACCATGTTTGTTAAGTAAGCTCCATATGTATGACGTTTGTGTGTGGATGATTAAGTATGCTCTATTATCATTCATTATCTAGTTTGACCTCGTTTCTCTGTGGATGATTATGTAAGCTCAATTTGAGAGCTCTTTGATTAGCTAGTCAAAATCTGCTCACATTTAGTATCTCGACTTGGTTGCCTTAAGTTAACCACCACTCTATTGTCTTACTCTAGACAGACTGAGACTTTTGCTTGAGGATCACAATTCACAAATCCAAATTCTCCTCCTCCTCCTTAGGCTCTCAGTGAGGGGGATGCCTCACTACTTCTGCTTCAACTATTGCAATAGCAACATGCCTATCCGTGGTGCTTCTGCTGATAATATATCTCCTACCCCTTCCCGAGTTGTAGCTCTGTCCTCTTCATTGTTTCCTTTGCTTCTGCTTCGGTCTCTGTGTAGTTTTCTTCCTCTTGGACAGATTCCCAGAATTGTTGCACCGTTTCCTCTATTTTCTACACAAGGTTTTAGGTGCTCAGTCTCAGGATTGTCTTCTTAAACCTGATGATCCATGATTTTCATGTACTGCGAAACTCTCTTCTGAGAAGGAGGCTACTTGTGCCGCTGCAACCGCCTACTTGTGCATACGTACCTCCCTTGTTTGGACATTGCTAAATAAATGCATACATACATCCTATAATAATAAGACGCATCAAGTTTCGATATGTTTCAGTCCAAATTAAAAAATTTGAACAATTAAGTCCGAACAAGATGGCCACTGATTTAGTCAACTTGAACTGTTGCACAAATACATATTCTTGTCTCCTCCTCCTCCTCCTTAGGCTCTCAGATAATTTGAGGAAAAAAGATTTACATCTGTTAACAAAAATCTCAGTAGTAACAGTTACTGAGGATGTTAAGGAACAAAACTCTGTTTTTAACTAAAGACTTGGAAACAGAGTCCAGTTCTGCCTCCAGATCACGAAAACCATCTTCAACTACATCTCTCCTCATCTTCTCCTTCTGCCTTGTCTCGACTTCGAAAATGGTTTTACTCGGATCCAAAATAGAACCCAGAAAAACTTCATCAAGACTCTTCATTTCTTTTATCAGATTCAGAGATTTATCTGATAATGACGACGATACGAAAGGAAAAGGCAAAAACCCAATGGTGGTCTTGATTTTTTTCGTTGGAGATGGTGGTGGTGGTATTGTTGATAGGAACAACAAAAGATGTCTGAAAATCGAGACAGTGAATTCAATTGTCTCTCTCAGAACACTCGTGGATGCTATCGTTGAATCGTGATCTATGTTGGTGGAAATATCTCTAGTTTCCATTTTCTTGAGTGCATTGATCTGTTTAGAGATTTCTTTCTTTGCCTTCTTCCGCAAGTTAACGTATGCTTTCGCCTCCTTCTCTACGCTTCCTTTCCTACGAAGAGCAGATTTGAGATTCGTCACGTGTTCTCTCATCGCTACAATCACCTCCCTTGTGCCCTCATACACGTCGAGCAACAGAACAGATCCATCTAAAGAATCTTCCAGAAGTTTCCCTTTCTGGTGACGAAGAAGAGTGTGTTTCACGTAAGGAGACTCAAGTAGCTCATGGACGCAACTGTAGAGCTCAGTGAGGTCCACGAGTCCAACGAGAACCGTCTCGTACCCAAACGAAGCGGAAACCGAGATTGAGGAAGAACATCTCCGCCAGATAATGAGCCGGTTCAAGGCTGCTCTGATCTTAACAGAGAGTGGATGGATTCTTGAAGGAAGACTCACAGATCGAACCGGTTGGTGTGTGGTTTGATCAGACAAGAAGACCAAATCTAAACCTTCCATGTTTTTTCTATCTTTCAGAACTCTAAATTGGATTGAGATGGTCTACCAGGGTTCTAGAGGGTTTCTATATATATTGCAGAGAAGCTCACAAACAGAGGGATCCTCGGGTTAAACAATGTGGGAACATGTGAGAAGAACATGGGTCTCTAAAAAAAAAAAAAAAAAAAAAAAAAAAAAAAAAAAAAAAAAAAAAAACATGGGTCTCTAATCTGATCTGTTTGTTTCTAACATGAAGAAAATCATCAGTTATGGTCAGTGAGTCTTGCAACTCATGTTCCTCTTTGTCTTCTTCTTATGCATATCTATACAAACTTTGTCTCGCAAAATTAATTTTTAAATTCAGTTTCTTGTTCGTTTGTTTTCGATACCAACTGCTTCTTTTGTGTCTGTCAGGGTAAATATAATTTTGGTTAAGAGAGAATTAAAAATGTGTCCGGCTTCAAAGAACCAAGGCTTGTCTTTCTTGTCTTACGTTACAAATGCTTTAATAAAATTAAAAATAAGAGTTGCGTAAACAATCGGAGGAATCTTCAGGTAAGTTTAGTTAAAAGACAAAAAATGATATAACGTACGTAACAGAAGTATTTAGTTTTGATTGCCAAGACAAAAAAAAATCTGTGACTGTAATTCAACCGTTTGAAAGACATCAATTGATAACGTGGGTAGACTACTTTTGATGTACATTCTCAATTAAGAACTAGTGATATTTTTAAAACAGTCTCGCATCAAATCAGTATCACTTGACTCTCCATCAACATATTGGCAATTAACTTTAGGTTTTCCTCCATTCGCCATGGTAATATCAATTCCATCCATGACAACATCTATACAATGTGTAGTTTCACTACATTTAAGCGTTATAGCATTTTTATTTGACGATGTTCCGCGAAAATCGACATATTTTACATTACTAATTGCCACTGATGATTCCTGTTAAACATAAATACATATATTCTCACAATTTAATTATACTTTCGCTTATATAATTGTATTTATAAATTATTAAAAAGTATTTACCTCTCCATCAAGCTTTCCTTTATCTATATATTGTTGGTCGATTATTATTGGATTTTTTGTGTTAATGAGCGTAATATCCGTAAAACTTATGTTTCTTGCATATCCTTGTCCACCCTTAAAATCAAAAGTAACAATACATGTAACACATTTTATATGATTAATATCAATGTAACTATAAGAGGTAGTAATTAGTAAATAAGAAAGAAAAATATACCAGCCATGTCTTGATTCTAGCTCCATTCGTCGTCTGATTGAAAGTGCAGTGAGTCACGTGAACATCACTCACTTTAGCCTCTGCTCCACCCGCTCCTAGACTTCCCACACTGTTTTCCAATAATAATTTTTTTAATAAATTCTCTCAGCCTTTTCTCTGTGCAAGTAAGCTTTCTATTCATGGTTAATGGTGTCATCTAAAAATAATAATTACTATTATGAATTACCTTATCCCATGACCAGGTCCACAGTTAATTCCAGTGATGTTAATATTAGAACTTCCACTGTTGATTGCTATACAATCGTCACCTGAGAATTTAGTGATTGAAATTCAAATAATTTTACTTTGCTATATATATATTTTTTTTGTCAAACTTACTTTGCTATATTTCATAGTCTAAAAATATTATAAATTAATTTTCCAAGAGAAGTATAACAAATACATAAAAGTTGGAGCTATATATAGTAAGTAGTGACTTAGTAATTGGATAATCTCTAGTTTGTTATGTGTAGTATTCATGTATTAATAAAATGCATGAGCGATTTATAGATTAAGTACGGACCGGTTTGAATTGTAGAGTCAAATATGTTGATATTAGTCGAGTCACTTATATCAATCCCATCTGTATTGGGACTTGTCTCGGGTGCAAAAAGATTTATATTTGATATTGCAACAGTATTACATGTTTTGATTGATATATGATTTTTTGGACTATCAATCGAGGTTATCCCGTTTATCCTCAGGTTGTCACATTTGCTGATATGTAATGCCTACAAAAAAAAGTGGTTTATTTAATAACAAATTTAAAGCAATCATAATCAAAAACAAAATTTCCAAAGAATGTATAGTAAGATTACTAGATATACTTACTGTAGGTCGTTGAGAAGCTTTCAGATTTAGCTACAAATAAAAAAAAACTCTCAATGATTTTGATATTACAATGGAGAAAAGTATATATAAAAAGTAATATAAATTATGATATAGCAAATTGTCACCTCCCAAAAAGATGAACCACGACTATCAATCGTTCCCGAACCAACGATTATTAGACCAGACACAGTTGAAAATTTGATCCACATTCGGGAGATGGGGTCCGACCATGCGACTTTCTCACTAGGTGCAACAATGGCGCCATCCAACTTCAAATGAGAAAATACAAATTTTATGATTTTTTTAATTTAAACATAAATTTATTTATCATATAAATTTGTGAATTAATCGTCTATATACCTGAACTTTTATCGAACTAGATTTACATGGGCCTTGGAACACGGTAGGTTGAAGTAAAAATGTTTTGTCAGAAGGAATAAGAAGTGTTTTTATGTCCCCGTCTCCGCCACATGCAGCAGTCCATGCTTGTAGAAAAGCCTTTTTCACATAATTATTTTTTAAATTATTAATACCAAAATAATAGTAATTAATTATAAGAAAATATGTATTTATCAAAAATTCACATATTTTGTGTAGAGAGAACATAAATTCAAAACATAATTTACCTTTGAATCATCAGTTTGACCATCTCCTTTGGCATCAAAATTGAGTACGTTGTAATTTTGGCCGTACACAATACCAAAACAGAGAAAATTTATCAAGATCGAAATATCCAATATGGTTTTCTAAAACACATAAGAAAAAAAATGTTAGAATAAACACGTAACAAAAAATACGATTGGAAAAGTGGAATGATTTGATGTCTACCATCGTGAAATGGCGATTATGAAAATCTATTGAATGTGTAAGTACTTGTTACGGTAGTATAGGTGTTTTGTATGTGTTTATGTCCTGTACACACAATTATAAGCATCTACGTATATCTGAATCATACATATTGTTCCCTCTTACATAAATCTAAATTGTCTACCTTAACTATTATCTCATTTGAATGGTATAAATGAAACTATACATCTCCCTCTTATTAAATGATGTACACAAATGAAGTAAAAAAAATGTTGTATACAATATTTCTAAAGTAATACATACATTTTATTTGTTACAAGATTATGATATGTTTCACAAGATTACGCAGGAGAAAAAAAAGAAAAGAATTTGGCTACTTCTCACACTCTTCACAACTTTAGAATGAATTAGTGAAAAAAAGTTAGGGAGATGTTATAAAGAAAGAGGAGCTAGAGAGACTACACTGAAATCGCCGATTTTACAGACACGGACAAAAAAATAAATTTGTGGTGGTCAAAAGCCAAAAAAATGATCGGAGTTCACGGAGGAGAAATCTCAAAATAGTCAATAGGTTGTGGTTAAGGCAATGTCACGATTCGTGAGCAAGTTAGAAAGTGACATGCTTAAATTAGGTGTTTTTGGTAGAATGTGAGTTATAGTATACTTAAATTTTGTGATTCGACCATAAAAATTAAACACTCTTTTGTATTGTAATAGATTAACATTAATCAAAACATTATTATTAACCAAAAATATTACGCAGCATAATTTTATTGGCGCAGAAACAAATATTTGTTTCTGAGTTGTGCTCTCGTGGATCATCATCGTACACAAACAATAACATGTCATGTAGACTAATTCCTCACGACAAGCACGTGACGTGAGCGACACGAAGCTAGAAGACAACAATAATCAAGTTTGGTATAGTTTGTTCAGCATGTGATGTCGTAAGTGATGATGATGAATGGATGGTGATGATGCACCATATAGGCTTAGGAATATATACACATGCTCCACCTCTTTTTTTTGTTAATTAATTCGGTTTGATACGGTTTAATTCATCTTATAACTTCTGAGATTATATATTTCTTCACCGGATCAATTCACGTATCATCCAATCCGAACCACAGAAGAAAAAAAAAACTTTTAATGGAAATGGACAATAGTCAAGATAGGATTAACTATTTTTCTATAGTAATTTCATCTCTACAAACCCTGGTTTTTTACACAAAATACAAAACTCTTATTGTTATAGAGTAACAATGTTCAAGAGAGACGCTCTATGTTGAATAAGTCGTCTAGATAAGTAACTTAACTCATCCTTAATTGCTTCAAGGCTCGCATTAACCATAGCTAATCTCCCGAGGATTGTTTGCGCATCAATGTCCTTCACGATCTTCCTACCGATGATTCTTCCAAAGAAAGAACGGATCATCGAGTTATCTACACATCCAATTTCACCATTCTTCTTCTGGTTCTCACCGGAAGAAGAAAGAAACTGCAAGAGTGACTGGAAAATAGAGATCGTCGACGCGTTTGATTGCCTTAGAATGTTGGAGACCATTGAAGAATGTTGATCAAGATCACGAGATTGTTTCATAACCGGAGCTTTTTTCTTTGTTTGTGTCCTTGCAAGGGATTTAAGTTGTCTCGCTGCTGCGTTCTTGAACTTTTTCTGAAAGTTAATGTAAGTTCGGATCTCGGACTGAACGGAAGAGAGATTTCCTCTGCGTCTACGTAAAGCAGATTGAAGTTCTTGAATTTGCTCCATGAGTGTTCCTATCAAGTCTCTTGTGAAGTCAGAGACATCGAGTAACAAGATGGATTCATCAAGAGCGTCTTCCACAAGTTTCCCGTTGCGAAAAAGGGGAAGAGCTTGTTGGCCTTGAGGAGAACATATGACTTGTTCATTGACAAAGTCATAGAGCTCAACGAGCTTGGCAAGTCCAAGTTGGATCCTAGAAGAAGCTGATGAAGAAGACTTTAAACCTTGAATCTTTTTCAGTTCTTCTTCAACTCTTTGTGCTTTAGGATGGATTAGTCTTGTAGGCAAACTAATAGACCTAGCAGGTACATGCGTAGTCGCCGCAGAGGATGATGATTCTGCCATTTTCCAAGCTCTGAAGCAAACAGAGAAAGGAAAAGCCTTAAACTTAGAAATGGGTTTTGGTGGGTTATAAAGGTTCAGACACTCAAGGTATATAATAGAAGAAAACTTAACAGATAAATCCAAAATAACCCTTTAAAAAGGTTTTAATGTAAGTGCAAATGGGGCATGTGTTAATGAAAACTTATAAAGAGGATATTTGCACAATTATCCCCTTTTGCTTAATTTAATAATCTCCTTGTGGTTATAAATGCAGCAACGTCAAGCTTTCTTGATTATTATGATTATCTTGTCTCCTAACTTGTCCCTCTTTGCCTCCTCCATCACCGCTGGCAAACTCAAAGATCTGTTTCATCAGGAACAAAAAACACGACAACTCAGAGAAACGTTTTCCAAGAAGAGATTTAAACTTATAAACAAATATTTGCGCAAAGAAAAAAAAGAAGCTAAGGCCATTATTCCAAGAATCTAGGGTTTTAAAACAATAAGAGTAGTAGGAGAATCTTGTTCAATAAGGTCGTGGTACGTTTCATTTCCTAGTCATGTGTATATTTATTTCCGTAGTTTTCTATTATTTTAATGTGAGACAAGGAGACAGAAGTTTTAATTCACAAATATATTGAGAATATGACAGAAGAGAGAAGAAATAAACTAAAAAAAATTAAGGAATTTAATTTGCCAAATAATTTGAAGAGAGTCATCAAAATTGAATAGATTATTAACACAATGTTGACCACTTGTCCTTTGTGAATCTTCTCTAATTGATCCCATGAACATTGTCTTCTCTTTTGGCTCTCAATGATTAGCAATCTAATTTCACTGAAACGTCACAATACTATGCACTTGGCTACTTGAGTGTTAAGAAAATATTCTTCTTTTAGTCTTTTTCCTCTTGTCATTTGAGAGAGTAACCAAAGCAATTTTTGATCAGATACTGCTGTCTGATTTACTAGAAAACATATCCAATTTCGGTTGAGATTTGGATATTTACCCAAAGCAATTTTTGTTCTCTTAAGAAACCACAAGGTCAAGCACAGTAAAAGCGTTCATAAGATTCACATATTTTACTCCATTTTTATTTCTTATAAGAAGAGTAGTGTAGATGACAATAAAGGTAAGAATTCTAAGAAACATGTATATAGGACAACATCAATGCTAGCTAGCCTAACATTGCTCAGCAGTTATGTATGTACTACTCCATTAAATCAATATCTTGACAATGTATACTTTATGGATTTTATGTTCATGTGACATTACCTATTAGAATCATGCCTTTTTGAAGCAGGACAATTTCTTTGATACTGTAAAACTCAGAATGTCCTTATCAAATTTGCATTGTTAGACAGTTCATTTCCTGAGTTGATCTCTGCAGGAATCAAGCTGATTTATCATTTTCTAGCTTCCGGTCTTCATCTTTCTTAAGGGAAATGCCATATCCATTCCGTTTTATCAGATTTTTTTTGCTCTGGGAACACAGAAACCGGTAAATATATATAAACACAATTGATGATTGAATCCTTATTCATCCACTTTGAAGCAGAAGAGCGGTTTCTTGTCAAGCAAGTAACTCTATGTTTGTAAATAGTTAAGACCAAGAAGAAAGATTATGAATGTTTTTTTGGAGGTGGGTATTGCAAAACCTGCATTTTGTTTAAATCTGAACTGTCAAAATCTAGTCTTAAGCTTCAAACGAAACATAACATTAAACATCAAACAAGATATACAAGAAGCTATCTACTTTCTCGTCTCTGCAACATCTTATAAAGAGCAATGCTAAGCAAATGATAAAAGGTTCTAAGACAGAAGTTTCTCAATGCTATTCTCAAACGTTTTAAGTAATTTAGAGGAAATCAAGAAAAAGTAAAACAGAGCCATTTCTTGGTTGGTTTAACGCCGTCTTGTTTCCTCTGTGAAGGTGCCTTGCTGGAGCTCCGACCTGTTTTTTTATCCTCGCCGGCTTTACTAAATATAACGGTGAATCCCTCTGCCGTCGCCGGATCATTCACATCCCATTCTCCGAATTTTGGCAGAGGCCTTGCTTCACTATTTGATGCCATTTCAATCTTCAGGATCAAGAAATCAGAGCAGTATTTCTCAAAAACAAATTCTTTTCTTCTTTTTATTGTTTTTCTTCTTCTTCAATGACTTCTATTCTGATATCGTTCTAACTGATCAAAAGATGATGGACTCAGGATGTCTTTTATAGTTGGAAGATTTCAATGAAGCAGAAACAGAGAAGTTTTGTTTTAAAATGTTCCTACGGAATGTACTCGTATGAAACACGGAGACAAGAAATTCCTTTTGGCATTTCTTCTTAATCATTCTGAGGTTCAAAATCTTTGGTCTTTGCGCGTCATACCCTGTAAAACCCTAATTATAGCAAAATGCTTCTTATCCATGGCTGCTCTCTTTTCTTATTTGGTGTTACTGACTTACTGTTATCTTTATTGGTTCTCTACATGCTTCTTTAGTAATCAGAGACCTTAAATAATATCTTTCTGGACCATCAGTGTCCGCAAATCTAAATTTGTATCAGATTTTAGAACTGCCAAGATTACTTCAACTAATTTGATTAGTGTTTTTACCCGATTTTGATGCAAAAAGAGATCAAAATATTGCTTGATAAACAACATTGCTTCTCTCTTTATTGATTTTATTGTATAACATAGAGCTCAATTAGCTCAGACGTGAGATCAAATATTATCAAAAGACAAAAAAATGAACTAGTAAAATGAATCAAGAAATAAAAAAAAAGAGCAACGTAAAACAGAGAAAACCAACACTTTTCCCTTAGTTTAAATGATAAAGACGAAAGAAGAAGCAAGCAGAAGCAGAGAAGCTCACATGGTTTCACTCAAGAGCTGCTATGACCGCATCAACAACTTCCTGCGTGGTACAATCTCCTCCAAGATCTTTTGTTCTGTATTTTCCTTCTTGAATCACTTGTTTCACTGCTGTTTCAAGCCGATCAGCAAAAGTAGGAAACCGGAGATGTCTAAGCATCATTGCTGATGAGAGAAGTAGAGCCACCGGATTCGCTTTCTTCTGTTCCACTATCTTATCATTCCCCACATTCCCGGCTGATGCGCCTTGCTCAAATATCGCATGTTCTGCACCAACATTTCCTGTCCCCAACAACCCCAAGAAACGTCAGTTCTAAGGCAAAATTAAGAAAGATTATAACTTCAACTAATACAAACCTCCTGGCATCACTCCAGTGCCACCAGCTATTCCAGCCGCCGTGTTTGCTACAAGGTTACCATACAAATTAGGCGTCACCTGAAAACAAACCAACAAAAATTATCCATGAGATACATCAAAACAACATCAATGATGGTTTTATTTTCTGTCACATTTTAAAAAGACTCATTTTGCTTCAAGTTGGGATTTGTAACTAGGAAAAGAAGAGCATTACCATGACATCAAATTGCTCGGGCTTCGCGACAAGCTGCATACAACAATTGTCTACGATTATTTCATTGTAAGTAATCCCCGGATAGTGTTTAGCAACCTCTCTACAAGATTCAAGGAAGAGTCCATCCGCAAGCTTCATAATGTTAGCTTTATGAACAGCAGTCACTTTCTTCCTATTGTTTAGATACGCATACTCAAATGCATATCTCGCAATTCTCTCAGAACAAAACTTTGTTATCACCTACACAAACAATTCAACAAGTACATAATGTACACAAAAGGATCACAATTTGGACTAAAAACAAACCCTAATTATATATAGTTACCTTAAGGCTCTCGACAACACCAGGAACAACCTCATGCTCGAGACCTGAATACTCTCCTTCAGTGTTCTCTCTAATCACAACGATATCAACATTCTCGTGTCGTGTCACTAATCCAGGGACATTGATACAATTCACTAGAGAAGCGAAGATATCGAGTTCTTTCCTCAATTGCATATTCAAAGAACTGACACCACCACCCACAGGAGTCGCTAATCCACCTTTTAAACAAACCTTGTTTCTCTTCACAGACTCGATTACTTCTTCAGGGACTTTTCTCATGTGGCCAAGAACCTCGTACCGCTCGAAATGCACCGGCGCGTGCATGGCTTCCATGACCTGTTCAACCGCACCGGTCACTAAAGGTCCGATTCCGTCGCCGGGAATTAGGGTTACGGTTCGTGGAGCTCCGTCTCCGGGTCTTGGCATGTAGGTGATGGATCGGGACAGTGCGGTGAATGGAGAAGGAGGATTCGCCAGAAGGCGATTAAGGATCGAGACGGATCTTCTCGCCATTGGTAGATTTTGCTTCTTTTAGGGTTTCAGAGCAACTAAAAGATTTTGCTTTTAGATTTTGCTTCTTTTAGTTTTATTTATTTTTTATTTCTTTGGCCAATCAGCTTTATTCTTCAACAATATGAGAAACAACAAATTTTGTTTGGTTCAATCATTTTTTTTTTCTTTTCTAAAATAGTATTTTGTAAAAAATGAAAGTTGTTTTATGATAATATAAACAAATGTTATCCCGACCAAAAAAAATATAAACAAATGTTATATTTTAGCCTAAAGTTCACGTCCACTTCGTGTGGTACGCTTAAAGTAACATATATAAAGGATACTTCCAAATAGTTTTGGATTCTCTTGCAATGGTGGTATTAAGAACTTGGACTGAATCACGGTCACACGCATTATAAACAAGAGCAAAGAGAGAGAGAGACCACATCTGTTTTCGCATGAAACATTCCAAAACAGCGAGGACAGAAACACAAGACTTTAGTTTTACTTTTTCTTTTATCTTTTGACTGTCGTTACTTCGATTCCAACTCAGTAAAGACAATCAATCCCTGTGTTTAAAAGGGTTTCTCAGTTTCCTTATCATTTCCATGAAAGTTCACCTTTCTTTTTTGATCATCATCTCTACTCTTCAATTGGTTCACTCTTTTTGGTCATGGCTTTTATAAACGGCGAGAATTGTGATTTTTCTTCCTCATCATCCTTGTCTTCTCTTCCAATGATTGTCTCCCGGAACTTTTCTGCCAGAGACGATGGAGAGACCGGTGAAGAGTTTCCTTTTGAGAGGGTTTTCCCGGTTTATGCTAGAGGAACCCTTAATCCCGTGGCCGACCCGGTTTTGCTGGATTTTACCAATTCTGGTTATGACCCAATTTGGGATTCTATAAGAGAAGAAGCTAAGCTTGAGGTTTTCTCCTTATGCTCCATAACCATATCTCTTCTTATTATTCATTTATACGTTTTCCATATATATAACTTCAATTCAACAAAGACAGAAACTTTGATATTGTTAACCAACTTTGAAAGGTAATGATAAAGACATTCATGTGTACCTTTTATATCAATCCGACAAAACCGTGGGGTCAAGCTAATCTGTCTCTTTAACCACTTAATGAAACCTTTTAAATGTTTCTTGATGTTGCGTTTTTCTCTCATCCGTCTACTTTTTAGGCGTTAATGGTGTTGGATTAAGTTTTTAATTTACAAAAGGACAAGTTGAGGAACATAGTTTGTGTGTTTATGTTCCTAAAATGGTGAGTGTTGTTGTGTGTTTTACAGGCAGAAGAGGAGCCGGTTTTGAGTAGCTTCTTGTATGCTAGTATCTTATCACATGACTGTTTAGAGCAAGCATTGAGTTTTGTTCTGGCTAACCGTCTCCAAAACCCTACCTTGTTAGCAACTCAACTTATGGATATATTTTGCAATGTTATGGTACATGATAGAAGTATTCAGAGCTCCATTCGTCTTGATGTTCAGGTAAAAACACGTATCTCTCGTATCCGTGAATCTTCCTTTTGACACTGCTAGTATTGTCTGAGGATGTGGCTGAAGTGTAGTTCTTCCATTTTGTTGGTTTGTTGAAGGCATTCAAAGACAGAGATCCTGCTTGTCTATCCTATAGTTCGGCTATTTTACACCTGAAGGTAGTTTCTTAACCATACTAGTTGCTGATTTAAAGACATTAACATCTTTTACACCGATATAAAATAATTGCTAAGTGAGTTTTAATGTGCATTTTACCAGAATAGTTTGTTCCACAGGGCTATCTTGCACTGCAGGCGTATAGAGTTGCACATAAGTTGTGGAAGCAAGGAAGAAAACTATTAGCATTGGCATTGCAAAGCCGAGTAAGCGAGGTATAAGTGACTTCCACAACTTCTTTGGTTATTGTTATAGACCTATAGTCTTGTTGTACAATTTCTGATCCATGTCAATGGTTTCTCTCAGGTTTTTGGAATCGATATTCATCCCGGTAAAGATTTTAGATTTATATCTTGTCTATGCTTTTACATCTAGCATCGGACTAACTTTGTTTTTTTTTTCTTTCGCTCAGCTGCAAGAATTGGGAAAGGAATATTGTTGGATCATGGAACTGGTGTGGTCATAGGTGAGACTGCTGTGATAGGCGACCGTGTCTCAATTTTGCATGTACAGATCTCTTCTCTGACTTCATTTCTCCAAAACTATAAAGAACTGTTGATGTTAGAAATGCTAGCTTATATTTTCATGTTACAGGGTGTGACATTAGGAGGAACTGGGAAAGAAACCGGTGACCGCCATCCAAATATAGGCGACGGTGCTCTTCTTGGAGCATGTGTGACTATACTTGGTAACATTAGGATAGGCGCTGGAGCAATGGTAGCTGCGGGTTCGCTTGTGTTGAAGGATGTTCCTTCGCATAGGTATGAAACTGACATGCATCTAAAATATCAATCTCATTGAGCGTTTCTGTTCGAACATCGCTCAAATGACATTCTCTTTCTGGGGTTTCTGAAGCATGGTGGCTGGAAACCCAGCGAAACTGATCGGGTTTGTCGATGAGCAAGATCCGTCTTTGACAATGGAGCATGGTGAGTCTTGATTCTGACAATAGTACTCTGGTTTTGTTCTCCATTGCTCAGGGTTCGTAGTGAACAAAATATGCTAGTTGATTGAATTTGCAGATGCTACCAGAGAGTTCTTTCAAAATGTAGCTGTTGCTTATAGAGAGACAATACCAAATGGTAACTTACTTTCTTATTTCTTACAGTGAATTAACTCTGTATTTCTATATCTGAGTATAGTTTGGGATCTGAATTGAGTTTTGCTTATTGTAAAAACAGGATCTTCAGTTTCAGGTAGTTGCAGAGAAAGAACACATTAAAAAGAGAACATGATTACATGATCACCTGCAGCTTCTTTAAGGCGATTTACATCACTTCACAAAAAATAACAAAGCTCTTTGTTTTGTTAACAAACTTGTTTTCCAATTGATTGGAGAAAGATTTTGATACATTGCTAAACATTATTGATTCTGGAAAGAAGAAAGAAAACCAAATCATAAGCTTTAAAGCTTATCATCACCCAACAAACATAACCAAAATGCAAAAACGAAAACAAAAACCCTTAAAACTAAGCATGCTTAGCCTGAAAATCTTTCATGAAAGCAACAAGCTTTTCAACACCAGCCAAAGGCATTGCATTGTAAATAGAAGCTCTCATACCTCCCACTGATCTATGCCCTTTGAGCTGCACCATCTTCTCTTTCGCAGCTTCCTTAATAAACTCAGCTTCCAATTCAGACTTCTCCAATGTGAAAGGCACATTCATCAACGACCTCACTGATTTCTCAACAGGACACCTGAAAAAGCCTTTGCTTTCTTCAATGGCATTGTAAAGCAAATCAGCTTTCCTCTGATTCTTCCTCTCCACTTCTTTCAATCCACCTTGCTCCAACAGATCTTCAAACACAAGACCACACATGTAAATCCCAAAGCAAGGAGGCGTGTTGTACAACGAACTGTTCTCATCATGAATCTTGTAATCAAGCATCACAGGAGTAATATCTTGAGCGTTTCCAATCAAATCTTTACGAATGATCACAATTGTGACACCAGATGGACCAACGTTCTTCTGTGCACCACCGTAAATCACACCAAACTTAGAAACATCAACAGGTTTCGAACAGAAGTTAGAAGACATATCAGCAACCAAAAACCCATCAGGGTTTTTAGGAACAGGGTAATCTTTAAACTCAACTCCATGAATAGTTTCATTGGCGCATATATGCAAATACTTGGCGTGCAGAGTTTGCTCCAACTCCTCAAAAGATGGAACCTTTGTGTATTTCTCAGATTTCCCAGACCAAATCACATTCGTCTTGCAATACTTCTTCGCTTCCTTGACAGCTTTATCTCCCCACGAACCAGTAACAACGAAATCGACTGTATCATCCGATTTGCAGAGATTAAGAGGTAAAGCAGCGAATTGAGTAGTAGCACCACCTTGTAAGAACAAAACGGAATATTCCTGAGGAATCTCCAGGAGCTGACGAAGATCCGATTCAGCTTTTTGTATAATCGAGAGAAACTCTTTGCCTCTGTGACTCATCTCCATCACACTCATGCCAGATCCACGCCAGTTGTATAGATCCGCCTGAGCTTTTAGGAGAACGTTCTCCGGCAAAGTGGCTGGACCCGCCGCGAAGTTAAAAACCCGTTCTTGGGATCCGACGGAGCCGGATCTAACTCCATCTTGAACTTGAGTCGTTGAAGCGACGCATCTAACAGCGACGGGCTTGGTTTTGCCGGCGAAGTTCACGGTGTTTGGTTTGCTGAGGTGAAGAAGGGATTGAGATGTTGATTTGGGCTTCAAAGCAGGAATCTGAGTGTTGTTTCCGACAAGGAAAGAGTTCGTCGAAGCCGCCATGATTGTTGTGAGATTGTCGGAGTTATTTTTGTTTGTTGCCCTTTTCGCTTTTACTTAGACAAAGATCTGAAAAAGAGTTGGTGGGATATATATTAAAATAGATTGAAAACGACGGCGTTTTGTGTTAGGTGGTACTAGTTTTGTCTGCGGTTTTGTTTAAGACTCATTTCTAATGTGTGTGAATTTGTAGAAGAAGAAGAGTTCAAATTGAAACTCTCAATCTTATATCATATTTTAAGAATCTGTAACTAACTACTGACAAAAATATGATTGTTATCAGAAATATTAGAGAATTTTATTGCTGAGATATCAATAAAAGAAAGACTTGGAAAGTTACAGATCAAATTCAGAGGAAATTTTTGAACTTATTTTTTGTTTGCTGGTTTCTTTTGTAATTAAAAATTGAGAGGGAAAATGTTAGCAGCTAGCTTTACACAAACTACTATTTCCACTCTTTAGTGAGAATCTGACACAAGAAAGTGTGCAGCTTCATACTTTGTTGCTATGTATCCGAATTTGGAGGAGCTGTATTTTCTATGTACTCCTGTTAGTTTATCACTTCCAGCCTTCTGATGTAGTCTCACCATTCTTCTACAACAATCTCTGTAAAACAAAAACCAAAAAGATCAGTCTTCTACAAAAGATTATGGATGTAATTCGTTACCAAGATTAGACTTACATGAGTTGACTTTCAGAGTAGTGACTGTGGAATTCACAAGTGCTATTCCATTCACTGAAGCCATGGATTGTACATTGAGCTGTGTACACTGCAGTGGCGGCTAGTAACGATGGTGGATACCGAACCATTTCGTAGTCCACAAGAGCAAGCTCGAGCAAGAACGACGCCAAGATCTCAAGCTGTTTCAATAACAAGATTAGTTTGTAATTCACAATCCATTTATATTATAATGTACATTGATAGATTTGTTTCTTTACCTTCTTGTCTGATTGAGCTGCCTTGAGGAACCTCTTCAAGAAAGGGTATTGCGTTGGTAACGACATATTGAATTGCAAAGTACTAAGCATAATCTTCTCCTACACACAAAGTTTGTTGAAATCAGATCAAATGTATAATCTTTTACCGAGTTTTTGGAAACAAAGAATCTTATTCTATGGTTATTACCATTTCTAAAACTTCGTTCCTCGTATAAGCTTTGTCCGAAATGACTACCAAATCTTCAACAATAGGTACTGAAACCTCTTCGTACTTGCAAGCTAAGAGCAGTGCAACTAAACCAACAAGCTGAAGCTTCTTTCTTGCAACAGCTTGCTTGGACAAGAATCTATCTATCAGATTCACTGTTAGAAACAATGTCTCGTTCATTAGCTCAAATTTGTCATGTACCTGAAACATTCAGTACACTTCTTAATTAGCCTCTATATACAACAATCCATTACCAATGAGAGATCTTTGAATATACCTCGATGAGCCAGTCGATGAGTATTGCTCTCATTTTATCAGTTATATCAAACTGTTGCACCATATAATCCAGAGGAACACAGCTAAATCTCTGCAGATTACCAAAATCCATGGAAAATTATCTCAGACAGAATTCAAAATTCTAATGGTTTTAGTTCAGAGACAATTTTAAAAACCAACGAAAACCGTACCTCGGTTTTACGGTAGAATTCGTAAAGATCACTGACATATTCAACAGCTGCAAGAGAGTTGTTTGCATCATATCCGTCGATATCCAAAATTGGTTCTTCTTCTTCTTCTTCTTCTTCAATATCCTCCATCTGAACTTCTAACTCCTGTCCAAATTAAAAAGTTTCATTAGAATTCACATTAAAAAGCTAAAGATCTTTTGAGAAGTGATTGTTAATTACCATTGGATCAGATTCAATGTATGGTTCCTCCAGTGACATTGGCATAGGTTGGTCCAATGTAGCTTCTTCATTCTTCTCCTCTTCTTCATCAATGAATATACAATCACCAAACTCGTTCCCACTTGGTTTCAGCTTCTTAGTCTCTTCCTGAGATCTGCAGAAATTCAAATAACAATCTCAGATCTCTCTTTCTCAGCAAAAACAAAATCAGAAAAAAACGCTTTCCAAAGTTTAAAGCTTTATCAACCTTGAAACTGACGGATGTAATGAATCAAGCTTCTTCTTCTCACAGCTTTCTTGTTTTCTCCTGTTGAACAAATAATCATCAAAATCCCAAAACCAAGAATCAAAGAGATGACAACTTTAGGATCCCAGAGAGTTTAAGTAAATTACTCAGATAAGCCTCTTCTCTTATTAACAACGCAAGGATAAGCTTTTGCACCAACGAGATTCTGATTAATCACACCCAATGCTCTCCTGTTCTGTCTCTTCACCTCTACTCCGAACTTTCTGCTTCTCGTATCATCATCTGACAAAACCCAGAAACAAAACAACATCAGAATCTCTGTTCTTGAGACCTAGAATTCTCAGATTCTCAAACACGTATTACTACTACTACCTTGAAGAATCTCTGTAATGGGTTTGACAACGAGATTACGATTGTTCTCCTCTGGGTTAACCATTGTTTTTTTTACTCGATTTGATAGTGTTCCTAGAGAAGAATCTAGAAGAAGAAGAAGAAGAAGGATCTCTCTTCTCTCTTCTCTCTGTGTATATGTCTGATGCAATTGAATGAATCAGGAGGAGTCAGAGAAGGGGATGAAATAAGCGAGACAAATAAAATTAAATCAAAATTAAAAATAAAGTTGCTATCTTTTTTTTATTATTTTGTTTTTTATTGAAGGAAATAGCAACGGCTAGGTGATTAAGATGACCGTTGGATCATGAAGGAAACGATTTGCTTCTAAGTTAGTCTAAAACCAACGGTAACTTTTTGGGCATGTGGTGGCTCTCTCTCTCTCTCTTTCTCATTTCAAATTTATTATTCCTTTTTTTTGTTTTTTGCCTTTTTCAGACAAAGAAGGCTCGTTGCCACTAGCCAGAGCCTCCTCCTTAAGGCGCGGTTCTACGATCTTAAAGTCAACATATTAATTATTTAATCTTTAATCTTAGCTTATTAATCTGTGTTTTACAGAGAGCTAAGAATTGCTCTCTTTCCTAAGAATTATTGTTACCGAGAATTATGCTGACTCTGTAGTAAGTGTTCTTGCCATTTCTTTTGTTTTTTGTCAAGTTTTTTTAATATTTAATTTAGAGATTAGAAAAAATTTAGGCTAGATGAGTTCTGGTCATAATTATTGTAATTGAATTTCCTTCTCTATTAGAATGGTCAATTAGAAGGTGATTATGTTTCTAATTTGTGTCATTCAATATGTATGATGTATCTTACATTACATATTTGAAGTTTAGATCACTTTTAAATCAATACTTTTAGAAAACTGTTAAAATTTTGGTTAGAGATATAATTCAAAATAATATTTAAACATTTGCGGCTTTGCATATATCATATATTGACATCAATGGTTTCATTAGTTTTTTTCTTTTTGCTGCAATTTGTTGTATTGGTGATTTATTTACATAGCCTTCAAGAGCTTCCTTCTGAGTTCTGACATTGAAAACTAAATATATATAATGTTACCGGTATACATTAATGGGAGTTTAACTTTTAAATAGTAAACCATATAGAATAATAATAAATAGGGAAATATCAAGCGATATGCATAGAGGAAGCGATAATTAAGTCCCTCCTTTTTACACTGTTCACTCGCTTCTGTTCAATTTTTTTTTACGCATGTACCCCTATAGCATCAAAGGAGTAGTATTTAGATTATAGGGCTGTATCATTGCAGAAGGTAGCAGAAGATTTTGCGAGATATTGTTTTGGGGAGATGTGCTATTTAAATTTATTTTTTTTAATTTTTTCTTCTCCAGTTTCCGAACAGTCGTGTTTGTTCTCATCATATATGGAGGAGAGACGGTGTGTTCAGTCAGAGAGATAAAGAACCGAAAACTGTCCGCTCGTATTCTTTCTCTCTGGTTCTTTTTTTCTAGCAAAGGGTTATCTCTCAGATCTGGGTTTTGTTCTTCTTCTCTTTTCTTGTAAGTGAAATAGTTTTTTTTTCTGTTTGATTTTGCTTTGGTCGCCATGTTTATTGTTCTTTAACTGGATTTTATCTTTTTTTCTCAGAACCGATGCCTCCGATTCTGCTTCCTCCCCGGTTGATTGCGTTTGGTCACGAGCCTCGCGGCGATAGGGTTAATGTGTATCATAAGATGAAAACCCTTTGCGCTATCTTCAACTCTCTCGACGATGGTGAACGGCAGTTCCTTTCTCGATCTACATTCGGTCAACTATTGGAGTTTCCTAACAAACCCGCCTGGTCTGCGAGCTTTGGGATTTTTATATTGGGTAGACAGTTGGAGGTGGCGAAGCCGAACGAGATTTGGGTGCTCTTTGCCGGAATTCCTATTCGTTTTTCTTTGAGAGAGTTCAAGATTGTTACGGGTTTACCTTGTGGGAAGTATCCGAATTTGAAGAAGAAAAAGAAGAAAGGCACTGCGGGGAAGACGATTCCATTTTACAGTAAGTTGTTTGGCCTTGAAGAAGATGTAACTGTAGACCGGGCTATTACGATGTTGAAGAAAAGGATTATCTCCGATGCCGATATGAGGATCCGACTTGCTTGCTTAGCTATTGTCGATGGTTTCCTTGTCCCTACCTCTCATTATCCTAAGATTGTTAAAGCTCACGCCGAAATGGTTGAGGACGTGGATGCATTTCTTGCATACCCTTGGGGCCGTCTCTCTTTCGAGATGATGATTAAGTCGATTAAAGAGAGGGAAATTGAACAATTAGCAATTACTTGTTTTAGCGTTCAGGGGTTGTTATACGCTCTGCAATTGGTTGTCTTACAGGCAGCTCCATCTATTCAAGATGGACCTGTAATTGATGAGATCATTGAGTCTGAAGCTGAAGCCGGCGATGTCGATGTTGAAGATGCCCCTCGAGAGTCTGTCCCTTTCAAGCTAGGGAATGCTAAAGTGTTGGATAAAAAATGCTCGGTAATGTCCTTATCTCTTTAACTTTGTTAACATTTATCAACATTGTTATCAGTATATATTGAACAAGTCACCGATAATTATGTTGTTAATTATAACGCCTTTTTCTCTTAAGCAAGTTAACGCCATCTGGTATTATTATCTTGGTTGTTTTGCAGATTTTTGTTGATACCATTATTTGTCCTGATTATGCGTTGAATCCGGAGGAAGATTTGTCTTGGTCTGATGATGAGGAAGATGAGAAGGTCGATAATATTCTGATGTTTGTAGGTGAGGGTCTGATTTTCAAGAATGACATGTTTGATGGTGGAGTTATCCCATCCCAGTTGAAATTGGCTTCAAAAAAACAAAAGCGAGGTGGTAAATCCAATGGTTGTCGCACTAGGAAAGCTGCCAAACTAACTAAGAACGGTGGTGTTAGGAGCAGACAAGAAAGACCTATCCCTGAGGAAGGCGGGAGTTCAGGAGGTCCTTCGTTGGAGTCTATTTCCCTTTTGTTGGATGCCAAACTTGAAGGGCAGGCGAAAAAAATCATTGCCGCGGTGACAGATTGGTTCACTAAAAACACTGTTATTGAAGGCGAAACCTCGAAAGAGCCTGTCAGTGGGTCTACTCGTCATAAGAAGGCTGCCAACAATGGTAACGATGGTGTTGCTAATTCTGATGGTCTGGGTTCCAATGGTGGTGATGATGATATTGGATTTGATTCTCTCCGCCACTCCCGTGGCCATGCTCGGTCTCATTGCCGCGAAGGAACTTCTAATGTCGAGGCCACTGTGGATGAAATTTTATCTTTCTACTCTGAGAAGGTTCCAACTGGTGTTGGTTGCAAGGAGGCGGGGGTAAATTTTTTTTGTCTTATTAATTTTTGTTTTTTTGGGTTGGTGGATATTTTCTTGATTATGGCTTTCTTCTTTGTTTTTAGCGGGAGAATGCTGTTCCAATGGGTGAAGATATTCTCCATGCTGGCGATGTGGTCCATAATTCTCAGGTGGGCGAGTTTTCAATGGTGTTTTTTTGGCTAAGTTATTTCATTGATTAGGTGTTATTTTAGTTAGATGCTAACTGTTATTCTATCATCAAATATTCATTGAGGCTTTTTGTGTGTTTATTGTTTTTTTACATTGTTTGTTACATTTTGTTTTAGGGCGTTAACAATGTTACAGCTGATGTTCTCCCCCCTTCAGAATGTGTTGATGAAGATAACCCCGAGGTTAGTTGTTATGGTTTTTATGGGGTAACTATTAGGAAAATGTGGGCGAGTTGTATATGGTGGTATTTGGCTAAGTTATTTCAGATATTTGGTGTTATCTTAGGTAGATGCTAACACTTACTTTTACCATCAAACATACAATGACGCTATGACGGTGTTTTATTGTTGTTTAAGTAATTTTTTTTAATTTTTTTAGGACGGTAACAATGTTACAGGTGATGTTGCCCCATCCACAGAGGCTGTGGTTGAAGATAACGCAGAGGTTAGTTGTTATTTTTTAGTGGGATAACTGTTACTAAAATGTTTAATCTATATATTTGTTATTAATGGAGTTTTGTTAACCATGTTTGCATTTCCCCCCACTGGAGTTTAACTTTTTTGCTAATTTTTTTTTTTCTTTTTCTCTTTAGCGCGTTGAGAATGTTCCAGTGAATGAAGCATTTATAACTCCCAACGAGTCGATCGTTAACGAAGAGGTTATCTGTCATTATCTAATTAGTGCAGTTATTTGTTTGTTGCCTGTTTCTTAGCATTTGTTATTGTTTGAATGGACAGGTTCAATGCTCTCAGCCGACAGGTGGCGTTGTGGCCCCCCCGCGTAATGCTTTAGAGGAAAGCCAGGTAATAGATCTATTTTATAATAGTATAATACAAGATAGAATATGTCTGTCTTTTGCAATTCTGTTTTTGCTTCTGGTTTAAATTCATTTCAATTCTTCGTTGCCCAGGGTGTTCCTGCGTCGGATGATGGTACTGTTGGCGAGGAGACGCATGTGGGTATCCCGGATATCTCGGTTAGCAGCTAAATTACAAACCATATTGTTCCCATTTCGTTAGGCTTTTCTTTCCTATTCTGTTCTACTCTCTTTGTAAAGATTAATTTTCGGGTGATAACGCTATTAGGCACTAAACTATATATTTATTTTGGTTTTTGGAATTATTTTTAAGAGTTTTGGTGTTTTAAAATTTCAATTTTAGTTGAATTCAGGTACTTATATGTATCAATGTATCCCTCCATGCTAGCCAACTTTAATTTAAATATGAAAGGTTAACGTACTAAGAGTCTTTTTAATGTCTATGTTCTTTACTTTCAAAGTCTATTTTTACTTAGTCTAGCCCTCAATCTGTTTGTGGTCTTCATGATGATGGGAAGATTAGTTGTTAACCTCCCAATGACCCTGTTCGTGTGAAAACTATTAAAAATTTAGTCATCCTGTAAAACCGGTTCTGTACTCATATTGTCTGTTTTTTCTTAAAATTTTTTGTGAATAAGGCTTCTCTGCCTTCTGATGGTGGGGTTGTGTGTGATGGAGAGGCGGTTGATACCCCTGAGGCTGTTTCTATTGATATGACAGCAACTAATGATCTGGTTGGTATTATCAGGGCCCTGACTTGTCATTTAGCTGATATTTTTTTAATTATATATCTCGTTTAGCCTTTAACTTTTTTATTACTCCCATTTTTTGTAGGGTGCTGGCCGGGCTGCCCCTTCTGTTGTTTCCTCCCCACGCGAGGTTTTATTGTATTTTCTATGTGTTTGTTTTGGTTGCTAACTAATTCTTTAGCCCTTATTAATCATTCGTTGTTGCTGTTTTCTCAGGATTCTGATGAGGTATTATCTAATTGGTTAAATGCTATTGTTTTTGTTAGCAGTTAGTTCGTTTTTAATTATTTTCCCATTTCAGGATTTCACCACTCCCCCCCCTTCTAAAGTAGGGAAGGCTCCCTTCCAGGTTTTTTTGATATAATTTAGTATCTTTGGTAGGTAAATCTCAAATTTCGCTCCTTTTCTAATTTAGTCCCCTTTTCCTGCAGGGTGATTGTAATGCTAACGATTTGGATGGAATGCTTGGGAGGAGAAGTAAAAGGGTCCGTACTCTTTCTACCAAGCTAGATGGTCGATTCCAGTATGATAAGAAAACGAAGTTGTTAGTTGGTCATCCATCCCCTGTTGTCAACCAAGCTAACATTTGCGTTGACCCTGAGGAACGCTTCCAAAATTCACTGAAGAAACTCAAGGCGATAAGGTATTGTTTATTCTGATATTTTTTTCTTTAGCCTATACAATGATTACCATTATATTTCTCTCTCGATAATCTTTCATATCATCTTGTTCTTTCAACAGTTCTATTAGCTTTTGTGGTGGTGTTGCTCTGTCTAATAAAGATATTTTGGATTTAATTGACCGGAAGAAAAATCTTTCAAGCAAGGTACCGTTGTTGTAAAATATATTCTATTGAGTGAGTTTTATATTGGGTTATTTCCTTTTATTTCATAATTTTTTTTTTTTTTCATTCCCCCAGGTTATGGATGCTCTTATCAAGTTTAGTCGTCATTTGTTGAGGACTGATGATGTTGACGGCGATAAACTACGCGTTGAAGTCCTTGATTCAAAGTTCGTTTCACAATTCTGCCGTCAATTCCCTAAGTTTTCCCGATGCCCGTCCAAATCGGAGTTCCAATTCCCACTGCCACTAACCGATCTCCTTTCCGGTGCTGGGGAGTCTGACCGTGTCCAGTTATTCACGGAGGCTGATTACTTGTATCTGCCTTTTAACTTTGACAAGAAGCATTGGGTAGTTTTAGCTGTTGATCTTAAATCCTGGAAGATCATTGTCTTGGATTCAAATATCCAACGCCGCAAAGATTCTGCTATTCTGGATGAGCTTATGCCTCTCGCAGTAATGCTGCCATACCTTTTCAAACAGGCTGCCTTCAATCCTCTTATGGGTAACTGTCTGCTGGATCCATTTTCTATAGAGCGTCCTCTTATCATTCCTCAGGTTGCTTCACCCCTTGATTCCGGCATCTTCTCTATATTCCTTATCCATACTCATGCTACCGGGGGTGTGTCTGAATGCGTGGATTTCGAGGTTGGCGGCCTTCAAAGTGAAGTGAAAAAGTTAGTGTCCGCTTTAATTCTCGCTAGCGGTTACTAGCTAACTCTAATGTTATCGAAGTCCTTTTTTCAGTGTTGTTAATGTTCATCGGATCCTGACTTCCCTTTCTTCTTTATTTTGTTTAGGGTAACTAGGATTTTATCCAAACTTGCCCCTTAATATATTTGGAATTGAACGTTTTATTATAGTAGCTTCGTAATTTATTATGGGAAAATTAATACTCCACAAATACTCAATTTTTCTTGACTTTGCCATATTAGTCCCGTCGTTAAGTATGTTATCGGAATCCAAACCGGGGGGTAACTCTGTTAATTGAGCCCCTTTCCAAGCTGGTGGTGGAGATAATTTAGAGCCAAGTTGTTACGTTTCAATGTGCTAACAATTATATTAACCTCTAAATATTGTTATCAGAAATAAATTCGATAAATGCTTGTGTAGGTTGTTAACAATCCATCTATCGATGACGACCACCCCTCTTAAACGAGTTGTTAACGAGGCAAGATATTGTAAATATTTTTAACTACGACAGCTGGTATTTATGACAAAATGACGCCGTTTTGGCTTACCGTCTCAATTAAATCAAATCGAAGTGTCATCTCCCCCAAAGTGAGAAACAGAAATCCCCAATTCACCAGAACCCTAACCCTTAAAAGAGAGAAATCAATCAGAATTGTTCTATTTTCGTTTCGGAAATTGATTGGGTTTTCAGATTGTGAGTCTTTTAACTTGATCTTCTTAGTCAATGAGTTCAAGTGAAGGGTCATATGGTGTTGGCGGAGACCTCCGTGGTTTTCCGTTGAAGTGTTCGTGTGGAGTAGATGTGACGATCTTCACGTCGAAGTCTCAAGAGAATCCAGGAAGGCCTTTTTTCCGTTGTAAAACGAAAAGAGATCCGAAGTCGTGGACGAACAAAAGAGATGTAAGTACAGTTGGTGTTTATGGTGTGTATTTGTGTAGTTTTGTAGTTGAACTTGTCTGATTTGGTTTGGTTGTGCAATAGGGTCATGTGTTTAAGTGGGTTGAGGATGCTGTGTACGAAGAGGTTGAAGATGCTTTACCCAAATTTGGAATCATTGCAAACGAGATAAACCAAGCCAAATCCGAGGTTAATGAGCTTAATGTGATGTTACAAGAGCTTAAAGATGAAGCAATCTTGAGTAGAAGGGAGATCCGCAAGTGGAAAGTGTGCTTGCTGATGTGTTTTGTGTGGCTTTGCTTGATCAGCATTCTCATTGTTTACATGATGCTTAGTCAGGCGAAGAAAAAGGAATTAGCTGTTGGTTATTAGTTATTGAAGAAGTTAACTAGGTAATAATAGACTCGTTATCTGATCGTGTATGTCGTTTTGTTTAATTTTTGCGATTTCTGCTAGAAGATTTAATGGGCTACCTTTTTAGATAGTCGTTATTTATTTTACTGTGTAACGTTATTATCATCTAGCACATAAGCTGACTTACAGCTAAGTTAATAGACAAGTTGTCTCCCCCAGTGTAATTGATTTGTTTAACCCAATGTGTCAAAATGAGTTATCGGCGTATTTGATTTTGTTATCAGCTATTTGTTATGTCGGTTCAAACCGTTACCCTTTTCTCTCGTAGTTTAATCTTTCTTTCAACTCGGTTTTTACATTAGTTGGCTCTCAGTGTTATATACATGTTTCATCGTATCGGGACAACATGTGATTTAATCTGTATATTTTTTAATCGGTAATTATTATTGCCTGCTAGTAGTTATATCGGCTAACATGGCTACCCATTTTAAGGTATGGGCTAGATTAAATTTTATGTCATCTCGATTTTTGTAATTTTCATTTTTTATCCCAAGTGTTGCTGTGAAATAAATTTTTATCACGATAACTTACTTATCCATGATTAATGTCGGTTAGCTAACTTTGGGCCATAGAGATTTCTCTATCATTGAAACACTTAATGAACATTGCCCATTATATTGAACATTCCTTGATTAAAGATGGATGGGATACGATAATTTTACATTTAGAGAACAGCAGCCGTACGTATGCACAATTAAAAATTTTCTGATCCCTTGAGTTCCTTATTTATTTCACATAGCCAGGCCAATTTCTTTGTTAATCCTGACAACATCCATCCATCGCTTTAGTCGCCAAAAAACGTCCTTCCTTCCGTTCTCTATTTCTCCTGCATTCCAACGAGATACAGTAAATATCCCCAAATTCATTTACTAACTGTTAAAGTATTTATTACCGTTATTGGGCCATTGCAGGTTGCCCTGTTATGACCTAATGACTTGCATCGTGAGCATCTTTTCCTTGATGTTCTCTACAAATGTAACAGAATGTTACTACCTAATAATCTTAGCTCATAAGAGAGTTAGTATTGTTTATCACATATATAGTTCACGGTGGTTACCTTGAACTCGCCTCTTGAAAATAATCTTCGTTTCCTTGGGCGGCCAGGCGGTCTCCGAACATATGGTGGAGCCAGTTTCCCACCCCCTACATCATTTGGGGAAGGAGTCAGTGTCTCCGTGTCGGGTACCGGCATTATTAGCGCTTGGTAAGACAACCTAAGCTGGGGGTTGGTGTGATGGACTCCAACTAACGTGTCCACTCTGATTCCTTCTTGTATTGCTGCCGCTATGGCATGAGAACAAGGGATTGTTAGCAGCTGAAACTCCCTGCACGTACATGTTCTCTCACATAGGTTGACCGCAAACGCTGCGCCTCCTTTTTCTCTAACTTCATATAGCCCTTCCCCAATCTTTATTACAGCACATCCTGCTCCTTTCTCGTAATTTTCGATTACCATATCGTTCACCTTTGGCGGTAGGATATTGTCCTCAAGCTGGGCAGCTTGCCTCCTAAGCGCAAACCATGTCACCAGAGTTGTGCGGATAGACTCTAAGATTGAGATTACCGGGTAATCGCGAGCCATGGTTAACACATTGTTTAGCGACTCCGCTATATTACTTGTCATGAAGTTATATCTATTTCCAACAAAATGGGATCTCGTCCAATGCTCAAACCCAATACCTGCCAGGTAGTCAGCGCATGGCCCATGTTTAGCCCTAATTTCAGCAAAAAGCCGGTTGAAATCACTTAGGCGATAAGCCCTCGCTGCACACGAAACCAATGCACTTAGCTCCTCAGATTTAAAGTAAAGCTCAATGTTCCTTTTCAGATGGACGATGCAAGCAGCATGAGATGACATTGGGTAAACCTGCGCAAAGATTATAGACGTTAGTGGATATCTTAGCATGCGTAATAGATATTGGGATAATTGCAATTGTATCAGTTAACAACATTGTTACCTTGCGGATGCTGGCATAAATTGAGGAGTGCCTGTCAGACACAAATACCAGCTCTGGATCATCTGGTATAGCTTCCGTCAGCTTAGTCATGAACCAAGTCCACGCCTCATCGTTCTCGCTGTTTACTATCCCAAATGCAATGGGAAACACTTGAAAATTCGCGTCTTGTGCACTAGCTGCAATTAAGCATCCGCCATATCGTCCTCGTAGGTGAGTCCCATCAATGACTATCACCTTCCTCATGTAAGCATACCCTTGAACACATGCATGAAGCGCAAAAAACAAGTACTTGAATCTCTCTACGCCAGAGTTATCCTTCTCTGTCTCCATTGCTACTAGAGAATTTGGATTTGTCTCTAAAAGTAGCTTGAAGTATGGTTGGATTAGAGCGTAACTTCCCATAGCTGACCCCATTGCATTGTCCATAGCTATTTCTCTTGCCCGCCAAGCTTTCCAATATGAGACGTTGAGGCTGAATTCCTGGCGTAGCATCCTTCTCAGCTCATTAGCTCGTGGTCCCCTGCCTACTCCAATATATTTTGTTCGCATTAACTTCCCAATTACAGCCGTTGAAGCTTGTTTGTGGAAGTCTCCTCTAGCATCCACGCTACATGTGTGGTTTGGTGTTGTGCTTCTTACCTCGAACCTATCGCTATCTGCCAGCTTTGTTGCATAAACCCGCCATGGGCATGTATGGCTGACGCAGACAGCCGCCACAACATTAGGTCCGGATTTCGCGTATATGAAATGGAACTTCCGGCGAATCGCATGAATAGCTAATTTGGTTGCACAATCCTCTTTGGTTTTAAAAATCCTCCCGATGTAAATGTCATCTCCTTCGTAATCAGCATCCTTTAGGGCTCGTTGGAGAGCATCTGAGAAAGAGAGGAACGAAGCAGCTGACATTATTAATAAATTCAGTCTTTAATTACTTTGTTATACTGATATCGTAGTTACTTCAATAACTTCTTACTTATCACAATTGGATATACTATTATTTAGCGCTCTAAACCTACTGTTACCTTCCTCCCCTGGATCGTCGAAATATGGGGGTGCATCGCTGTCATAGAATACCGTTGGAACGGGTGTATCCTTCACGATCATCTCATTCCTCTGTACATCGGATACTCTTGTGTTAGTTGATGGCATCCCTATTTCTTTAGTTGATAATCCGTCCTCTATCATGATACTTTTGCCTTTATCTATCATTGTGATAGGTTGAGGATCCATAATCAGAGGGCCATCAGCATCAGAGTAAAAGTGTGCCAGTGTTTCGTCACCTACAGTTTAAAGCATTTTATGGTTGTTTTAGTGTGCATAAACAAAATAGCGGATAATATATTGATTATTCATTAACATACCTAATAGCGATAAGCTGTTGTTGTTCGACGACTCACTATCCTCCATTAGGTCTTCGGTACTGAAAGAAATGCTTCTCGAAAGCGAGGTTGGCGTTCCGAAGGTTGAATCGCTTGACGATAAAGCGACCACCGGCGGCCCAACAGCTGGTGCTTTTGAACTCGCTAGAGTTAGACGCAAATCCGCATTTGGATCTCGCTTTGACTGGTCGCTACTTCCGAAATCTAGGACCCTCGCTGTTTTCTCTTTGTCGCTCACTTTTGTTGCATTAGTTTGAGTTCCTCCTAGGGTCATTTGGGTTGCACACATCTCTCGCCACATTTCTTCCTGTTGGTTTTTTCGCCACATTTCAAATAAACGGTCCCTCTCCCTCTCCTCGTCTTCAACAACTTTCTCTTTTCCCTTTAAGCTTGTAATTGCTCCGGGGTGTGTTACTTTTTGTGGCATCCCGCTAGTTCCGCCTGTAATTTCCATGTTGTCTCTTATGGTTACCCCTTCATACGTGTTGCGATGCTCACCGCCTTTACTTATGTTCACCTCGTTCTCCTTCCCCATGGTTGTCATACTTTCTGCGTCACCTGAAACAGGTTTACAATTAGTAGATAACAAATTTAGCAACTAATTTAATTATCCGCCAATATTGTCGATTTACAGCTGAAAATATATTCTTGATTCAATTGTAATAAAGCCTGTTAATATCATTAGCTTCTAATTCTTACTGCAATATATTTAGGAATTTAGTTATCAGTTGTTCACCTGAAATGTTACGCAGTAACATTCGTGTTAGCGCGGATCCCCAGACAGCCCTGGTTTCTGCGTTATTCCAGTATTTATCGGATATTTCTTTTGAACTTAGGCCGCTTAGATCCATGTTACTCCGATAACTATTAACGTTTCGCTCAGTCCCACCTCGTATAATCCTCACCCGCAGATGGACTTCATCTAGATCGGCCCTTATCGCCATGAACAGAGTCATGTCCTCATCGTCTAATATGTCGATCGGGTTTGCACGTTTCCAATCAGGGCCCATCATCCACTGTGGCCACTGGTACGTTAACTCGATATCGTCTTCAGGACGCAGTGCTAACTTTTCTTTTACCGCCATAACCACTTTCGCAAACCCATCTTGCTCTCGCAGGCGTACTCCTAGTGCAAACCCATCCATATGTGAGACGTGTTCGAAAAAGCCGTTTTCATCTTTTTTCCATTCCCCAGGGACCAATCTCACCACGAACGCCATTTTTACCTGCTAGAGTTTTCAGCAATAAAAAATTTGTTAGCGTTCTTGTTATTCTTAACTATCAAACCCTAAATCTAAAAAAATTCGCTTTTCTGAACATCTACAATAAAGTACGTAATACCCAAATCTTTTTACTTTTACCTTTAAGCTTTGATGTCTCTGTGTGCTTAACTTTCTCTTGCATTAAAGATGTCGGAAGCTAAGCTATTTAGAGTGATAGAACTGGGTTGTTGCAGCAAAGAGGATAAGTGCTAATAAATAGACAAACGTCTATATTCGATATACCCGCAACCCAACATATATCAGCTGCAATATTTATCGTATCTTTATGTTTCCAAAGCCGGCGGCGATATCTTGCAAGATATCCTCAGCATTTAATGCCGCACCTACGCTATAACTGTTTTCGTTTTTCGGTTTTGTAGGGGCTTTTTCGTCATAACTTATGTCGGGGAAGAGAGAGGTTTAATTACCTCATTTGCATGCATAGAAACTTAATATTTTCATCCTCTGGACATAGATATTAATATAGCCCTAATAAATATGACCAATAAATGATAATATCATTGTAATACTGAATAAAAGACAAAATACAAAAGTTTACAAGTCACGTCATTGTCGGATGTCACATGCATAATAGTATTACTAGTGCAGACAGTGCAACGAGTCTTTGCAATCTCGATGACCAAAAAACACACCGGCAAAAATTACAAACAGAAAACAGGAAATTCTCTTGAAGCAACCTACCAAGTACGAATAAGTTATGGGCTAGTAAGAGCATGATTATTAAGGGTGTCTTAAAAATGGTTCTTAGGAATATTAAAATAATAAATTTAAAAATAGCTCTTAAAAATGGTTCTTAAGTGTGTATTTGTTTCTTAGGTAAGCAACTTACCTTAGCTTTAAAGCTTATTTGAGAATTAATTTTAATCATTTAATTGCTAAGATCATTTTAAGAAAATCTTAAGATCCTCTTGTTAATCATGGTCTAATGGGCTCTATACGATATTAAGCCCAGATTTACGTAATATCCGAGTTTTTGACTCGAACGAATCACACGTGGATTTTTTTTAATTAAATCCGACGGACGCAAATCTTCATACGAAAAGGCGGGAGAGGAATTAACTGTCATAACCGCCATGGCTTAGAGAAAACTTTATATAAGGCTATTTCAATGTTGTTCTGAAACATCAATTCTCTTACGAAAGTCAAAGAAGCATGACTAATAACCCAGAGAAAACGAAAGTGGATGATGTTGAGGAGGAAGAGAGAGAAGATTCTGATGAGCAATGTAGCGATGAAGAGACTGATACGAGAGAAATCGTTCTTGGCCTCCCTGCTTTGAGTATCAGCAGTAGAATATTTGTTGATAGTAGTAACGTCGCTTTCGTTGAAGACGATGTAGAGAAAGCGCGTTTGAATGAGCAAGCGGTTCTTGCGGCGGGGTTGGTTTTGGCTGCGGCAGAGGAAGCGGTTATGAAAGGAGTGAATGAGGGCAGTGGGAGTGGTGGGAAGAAAAAGAGTAGACCAAGGACATCGACGAAAACCGGTGATGAAGCGGATGGTTCTGGTAAAGGAGAAGCGAAAAAGCCGAAGAAGAAAGCATCGGAATTGACTCATCCACCAAAAGGACCACCGGAATGTCACATCTGTGGACGACGTTTCGTTTCTTGGAAGGCTGTGTTTGGACATATGAGGGCGCATAAAGATAGAAACTATCAAGGATTTCTTCCTCCTCCTACGTTCTCTGCGGCTGATGTTGTTTCCATTCCCGGACTAAACTCCGCTTTTGCTATTGTTACTGCCGGAGGAGGAAGTTGTGGTGGTATTGCTGTAGGAGGAGGAAGTTCTGGTGGTATTTCTGGAGCAGGAGGAAGTACCGGTGGTGTTTCTGGCAGTGTTGGTGCTGGTGGTGCTTCGGGACGTGAAAGTGGGAAAGGTTCAGGTATTGATTTGAATGTGGATCCTATAGAGGAAGCAAAGGAGGCGGTTGAATCTGGATTTATTGCCAAGTTTGATCTCAATAAATCGCCACCAAAAGATGAAGATGAAGAGGACAAAACTAAGTGAATTTTTTTTCATACTTTTTAATATTTAGCTATTATTTTATTATGTTTACTATTATTTGATATGTAACTAACACATTAATATATTGATATTTTGGATGACTACTATTTTGCAATAATGTGCCTATGTACCATCTTGTAAAAGTGTGAAATTTTAATCTTTGTTCATCTGCAACATTAGTATATTGATATTTTGGATGATTACTTACTTTTAAACATGGTTATAACTTCAAAATGAAAAAAGGAAAAAAAAAATTCATAAAACAAAAAAAAAAAACGTGTACAACTGCTAGAGCATGGAAATACTGAAATGGTAAATTGAATACGATCATAAAGAGGAAAAATATTTGTCACGATAAAAAGACATATGATTTAATATTGTTGATAAGATTATTTAAATTAGAGCTCACTATAATTCAGTCTGATAATAGTAATTCTAAATAGCGTATTCTTCTCAAATCCATGAAGTGTTAACCAATCTTTGAAAAAAAAACAATTAAAAAAAAAAAAAAACGACCTTGTTTTTGTATGAAGTTATATTTGTTACCACTATCAACTCTATAAGCAAAACACTTTTGAGTGACAAAAAAAAAAAAGCAGAAGACTTAAAAAAAATATAGAATGGGCACACTTATCTATAAATGTAGTAAACCATACAAAAAAACAGAATTAAACCAAAAAGACTCTAAAACCATTTCATACCGCCGGAAAAAAAAATATCAAGAAACCATTTCTTTTTCTACTCCAAACCGTCCAGGCGTTGCTCTCTTGCGTCCAGCCCCAATTCCACCTGCTCTATAGTGATAGTGATGTGGCGAAGAACGTGAAGAGCTAGAAACGGCCTGTTTAGTGGAAGAACGGTTAGGGACGACATTATGCCGTTGGATATGTGCGAGAACGTCGACTACTTCCTTCATGTGTGGTCGGTTTTTCGGGTCTGGCTCGATACAAGAAAGTGTAATGCGTGCCATTTCGGTCGCGACTTGGGTTGTGTATTGACCTTTGATTCCTTTGTCCATTATTTGTTTCACTCTGTGTTTGCTTGAGAGTTCTGGTCTTAACCAGTCGACAAGACTCTCTTGTCCTCTGGGCCTTTTTGTGTTGTGCGCCGTCAGTCCGGTCATTATTTCTAGTAAAACCACACCAAAGGCGAATACGTCACTCTTAACGTATAAATGGCCTGCAGATGAAACAAGAAACGAATTGGTTATTATCTGATCCAAAGTCAGCTGTTCAACTAGTATACTATCTAAGTATCTAGTCACTCGAAAAAAAGGAGAATATTAAAGATGACGAATTCGAGTACCCACATTGGAGAACAGATTAATGTAACATGTTTTGGTCTCCAATTAAGATGAGATTATAGAGATAATGTCCATATCGTTTTAAATAAAAGACTATGGTTTATGTTTTTCTATATGTACCTGTTGCCATATATTCAGGAGCAGCATAACCATATGTGCCCATGATCCTAGTTGTAACGTGTGACTTCTCGTCTGCTGGTCCTAGCTTTGCTAATCCGAAATCTGAAAGCTTTGCGTCATAGTTCTACACCCATATGTATCAAACAAATCACATCAGCCAAAAATAGAAAGATCAAAGATTAATTATTTCTAATTATCTAGAGTAATTAAATTAGACTAACCGAATCAAGAAGTATATTGGAAGCTTTGAAGTCTCTATAGATGACTTCTCTTTGTAAGCTGTGTAGAAACGCAAGCCCACGAGCTGCACCGATCACAATCTTGATCCTTAAGTCCCAAGGAAAAGGATCGTTTCCTGTATTATAAATCATGCAAAGTACATCACAGTTATTTTTCTGATCAAGACTTTGTTATAACGATGAACAATGTTTTGTGGGTTAAAGAGATCTTAATTACGTCTAAAAAGATGACTCTCAAGACTTCCTTTGGGCATGAACTCGTAGACAAGCAGAAGCTCTTTGTCTTCACGACAGTATCCCAATAACTTCACCAGATTTCGGTGTGAAAGCATTCCCAAGAAGTTAACTTCTGACTGTCGAAAAACCAAACAAGCCACAAATCTCAAATTAAGCCTACATAACTTGAAAATTAGTTTGTTCTGCTAATTAAGACATACAATAAACTCAATGAAAGAATCCAGATTTCCATCCAATCCGAGTTAACAGAAAAATAATGTTGACTTTCTAATAACCTTTTACTAAATTTAAACTATAATATTACATAGTAATAAATAATACTTTTGACAAATGTTATGAGCTAATAACATGTACCAACGTGTCCCCAACTCAAAAGTCCGGTAACAACGGAAAGTTCCTAGCTACACCGAATTTGATAGCAGACAATGGAAAATTATCTTCAATTGGAAAAAACCAGGTCATCGATTTCAAACAATTATAATTTGATTGGTAAAAAATATTATCATAAGACAAAACATCATTTATTAATTTTAAAATATATTTATATTCTTTAATTATTCTGCAGAAGTCGTTTCGTGATTGGAATAGTCAACTCTTCTTTCATCTTGATCGAATTACGTAATAATTGGACTAGTTTTTTTTTTTTCCAACAGAGAAGAAATCAAAATCACAAATATAGTTGTGGAAATTAGAGATATAGATCTTACACGCCACTCTGCAAATCCTTGAACACTCTCTGAATTCAATCTCTTGATGGCTACGATCATACCAGAACCGACTCTGGAAGGAGCAAGAGTCGTGGCATCGACCCAACCTCTGTATACTTTCCCGAATCCTCCTTGACCCAACATCGAATCCGGTTTGAAATTCTTCGTCGCCGTTTTAAGATCCAGAAAGCTATAGACTTTGAGATTTGGCGATTCCAGTAGTTTACCGGAATCACTTATAATCCCACCGGAAATATCGCTCCCCACTTCGGAGAATTGGCTCCGTTGTCCGACGCTGCTGCTTGTTGTCGCGCCCGTGGTGGTCGTTGACGACGAGAAATCAGTTCCATTGCTGTGGTTGTTCGTGGTGGCTACTTATCACAAAGACAGAGAGAGAGATGATCAGAAAGTGAAGATCTTTTAGGTTTTATTCAAGAACCCAAAAAGAAAAACAAGAACTTCATAGATTTGTGGATGTCAGAGATTAATTACCATGACTATGGAGACCTGTTTTGGAAGGAGAGGAAGAGGAAAAGAATGAAATACAAAGACCCATTTCATGAGCCTTTTCTTTCTTCTTGTTCTTGTTCTTGTCTTTCTTGTTTTACCAATTCAGACAAGAGCTAGTGGATATGGATCTCAAGTCAGTTAGTTATTTGAGCTTTTATTGCTCGAGTTAGAATTATTGAAAGAGGCAACGATGGGTTGCAAAATAATTTTGATTTTTTTAGATAACAAAAAAAGAAAGGGAGGAAATTTGGGGGTTGTTAGCGTGAACCGAAGAAGGGTTTTTGGTCTAACTTGTCAATTTTTATGCATTTCTTTCTGATTCGCCACGAATTAAAAGAAAATTAAAAATAAATACGAAAATGCCACGAAGATGGACCAAAAAGAAAAATCATAGCCAAAGCCTTTTTCTATCTCTATATGATCGTGTGATCTGAAAAACTAATTGAGATTTATTTTGGAAATTCTTTGAATTATATTTGTACTTTTATTTCACATTTTTTTAAATCCCTGTCCACATCATTCAAAAAATAGTAGAGATGTGAAACCGTAAGGAAGTAAAAAGACTTTTGCTTGTGCCATCAAAATGCTTAAAAGTCATCCTCACAGTCACACAGCTTCGACGTTTGTGTCTTTATGGAAATTTCTCATTCATTTCTACAATTCTGAAAGTCATTCGATTTCTACTATAGTCTATAGAGCTGTTTCAAAATTAGAAACATCAAAATTCTCCAATGGCAAAATTAGAATATATATTTGTTTATATGAATCTGTCTAACAACGTGAGTAAGAGAATTTCTTTTCTTCACTTAAATTTTCTTTTTGTTAAAGTTCTTCACTTAAATTTGTCAGAGATGTTCGTAAGTTGTTATCAAAACAACATAATTTTCAATGATCACAATTTTTTATATATATAAGAAAATCGAGTAATGTTCATACAGATCTTTTAGATCAGAAAATAAACTATTGTTATTTCTTTTAAAGATTTTCACGTTAAATAAAAAAAAAAATTGATCAAAAACATGAAAATGACTTCAAAATGATACTCGACCGCGTACAAAATGCCAGTTGCATGGAAAATGAAATTTCAATCCATATATTCAAATGCGAAGAATTAAATAAAAACGTTTTTTCTTTTTATGTAATTATTGACGTAGGAACACACACACACACACACTAGTAGTCTCTTAAGTTTCGAACTTCTTTGTACGGTACACGTTAATTGATGGTCTTCGTCGTGTGGACAGACCGACAGAGTCGTCGTAGATTTTCAAAGCACGAGCTAACAAAAGGGACCACTCAAGAACACACGTAACCAATAGCCTTAAACAAAATTGGTCATTACACTTTTGAAAGTTTGTCTTGACTACGGATGGGTTAATTTGGATCAGTTCTTAAACCAATATTTGGGTTTGATTTTTACCAATATTTAAAGAAATTCGATCTTAATTGCTACCTAATTGCACTAAGAAAAAATAAAAGATTTAATCGCGATTTCCGACCACAAAAAGTTATGATACAAGAGTTCCTCTCTTCTCGGAACTTCTTTATACCAAAAACAAGCATCTGTTAGACTAGTAACTAACATTTCTAAATACCAAAACACTTCACAGAAACCCCTAACTAACTAATATATATGATGTTACTGTTAAAGGACCTAGATTCATTAAGTGGAAGAGGAAGTGACAAGAGATTCTTGATTCTTCTTGGCTCTAGAAGCTCTGTGTCTTTTTTTGAAGTTGTCTTGTCTGAATTTTTTGGTTTCTGTCTCTATCTCCATGAATGGTCTCTTCACTATATTTCTCTTCTCTGTCTCCAGTTTCTCCTGTTTCTTAGCTACCGCCATTGCTGCTGCTTCATTCTTTTCCTGCTGCTTCTCTGCTTCCCTCTAAGCAATACAAGACATAGCAATGCTTGGTTCAGTGAATTGATGTATTAGGATTGATGAAGGGAGAGAGAGAAGACCTGAAGATCTTGGATGAGACTGTCGAGAGATTTGATCTTCCTATGAGGCCACCGGGGAATTCCAAACTCTCTGCATTTCTTTTTCAAAACAGTGAGACCGACATTGAGATTCCGAGAAGCTTCCACGATAGTAAGACCAAAGTATTTTGAAAGATCTTCTAAGGAAAGTTCAGCAACTTGTCTGGATGTTGTCCTCCTCTTCTTCCTCTCCAAAATCTCAGACTTAGCATCTGTGTTTTTACAATAACCCGAAATTAATCACCAAATGCTTAAAACTGGCCTAGAGTTATATATTATCTGGAAGGCAAGTCTATTGACAATTTCAAGAAAGAGATGTACCTGATTCCGAATGTTCAGTTTTTTCGTTTTCGGATTCCTCGGATTCGGTTTCTGAATCAGGAAGGCAGTTAAGATCTTGTTTCAAAACGAGCTTTCGCGGTTTAGGCAGATCAGAGTTATAATACTCGTCTGTACTGCACTGTTCATCTTCAGAAATTTGTTCTTCTTCAGAAATCTTTAATGGTTTCTTCGGTTTTAACTCGGAAATAAACTTGAGCTCATTGGCTAAATTAGGGATGTCCTCCAGCTTAGGGTTTCTGTCAATAAAAAGAGCAAAAACATGTTTGGTTCCTAAAAATGCACACAACTCAAGAACAACACTACAATGTGTTTGTTTTGGGTAAAATGTTGAGTTTTATACCATTTTTGAATTTTTTCACTGAATACGTATACAACAAAGAGATGACCGAAATCTATGCAACACTACAATGTGTTATTGTTAAAAGCCTATTTGTTTACAATTAGGGAATCTTAGCAACTAAATCGGGAGATCAAACTAATTCACAAGAATAATATAAAGGATCTGTGGAAGTGAAGATAGGTGAAGAAAATATGTAAATTTTGAGCTGTGGCAAGTCTAGTATCAAGAAGAACAAGTTTTTTTTTTTTGGTACAAGCAAGAAGAACAAGTTTAACGTGATAAAACAAACGATAAATCACATCCTAATAATGCCTCCAACTCTGTTATAATATTTGTAACTCATTCATTTTATATATTCCATTGCTATTTTTGTTGCCACTATTGTCAAGTGGGTATGCGATGTTTACTCTAATTTGACAGACTTGGAGTCAATAAAACAGAAACACTACATAATCTACAATTCGATTCAAGAATTAAAAAATAAAAAATCAATCTGTTATGTGAATATATAATCGCACGAACAAATTAAAATAAAAACGTTCCGAATAATAAATGAGTCAAAAGTGGCGTTACCTTGAAAGACAGAGAAGAGTAGGAAACCGAGGAAGCGAGTGATTAAACCGGAAGACAAAGATACAACGCCACGTGCCAAAAACCGACCCTTCCGAGATCTCCGGTCGCCGGAAATCTTCCGAACGAAACAGAGGCTTCGCTTTCTTCTCTACATAACAGCTTTTACTCTTGAACAAGAACTCTCTCTCAATCTCCACCGATCCATACACATGCAAACTCCTCATCATCTCTGCATTAACAAATTAACCCATAGAAATAAATAAATAAACCATTTCTCAACCCGACCCGATTCGAGATTCTAGTCAGTGTTTTGACTAACCTTTACGGGTGACGCTCTGGAAAACGGCGAGTGAGGTCAAGGAATGTGCCATGTCCGAAGAAGACCAAGAGTCGCAAAAGCAGAGGATTTTAACATAAAATTTTTAATATTATTTTTCTTTTTTCCTTTTTTAGTGTAAAAAATCTGCAGAAGAATCCAAGGCTTTCTGTACTTGAAGCGTTCGTCATTAAGTGAAAAAGGCTTGAAGAAAAGTAGGTTAAAAATTTACCCTTGGTCCACCATTGAAAATTACCAAAAAGGCCACTTGAATAAGTTATGTATATTGTTGTCCTCGGTTACGCAGAAGGCAGAATATTCCGGAACGCACGTGTAGGCAAGCGGAGCGTGCGAGGGTATTTCTGTAAATAAACAGTGGGAAGCGTGTCGCATCGAACCAAGCCCATTTGGTAATTGAAGTTTTTTAGAATGATTCTACAGAGGTTGAATTTGGTAAATGAATCAGAGAAATATTAAGCATTGGAGTATAATTTCCAATTTGGTCAAATTATATGATATATGACCATGATTTCATTTTCTCTTTTTGGGTTTTCTTTGTTCATTTCTAAAGTCATGGGCTGAAGTTTAAAGTCATGGGCTTGAGTTCTCCAGCACTAAAACTGGAAACAGTCAATACGTTTGTCTGCTTTGTGGAAGAGAGAGTAAACAATAATAATGTTAAAAGCCAATTCATTTAATGTATTCAAAAACTAAACTGAATAATTAAGTTAAATATGGTAAGATTTATAACGTTTCTATTTACTATTTATGATTTTTTTCCAAACTGAATTTAAGCTAAATTAAGCCGGACATGTTTCAAAGTTTGTTAAGTTTCAATCAAAAATCAGTGCAGTGTGTCAAAATACTCTGGGTACTGGGTAGTAACATTAACTTACAAGGAGTTTTCTATATAAAACTATATAAAAATACTGAGTAATAGTTTTGATTTGATCTGAGTGATAACTTGCTAATAAAACTCAAATCGAAAACAATTATTATTTTGTATAAAATGGAGTTTAGATAGAACTCAAATAATTGTATTGCTTGGATATATATAGTTTTTTTTTTCTTTTTTCTTAACATGGATATATAAGTTTTATATCGTACATATAAGTTAAATTTTAGAAAACTTTGTTGGATGGTGACATGAAGACCCCTCATTTTAATCATAGTATTTTGGAAAACTTGATTGGATGAGTGATATGAAGATGATGTTAACATAGACCAGAATATCAATAGTTGGTCCAATTAGGCCCATATTTTAACTAGAAAGTCAAAAAAAGTGCCCAAGTGTTGTCAAGATAAAACAATTAAGAAAAGGGCAAAGCTTGACCAGCAAGATTTGGAGGTCATTTCCTAGAAACGTGTCCAAGAATTTTCAAAGATGGCTTTTGTCTTATAAATACATAACATTCACATAATGACCTGAAATCAAATCTTAAACATCATTCATCGTATATAGACTCCACACACGTTTTAAAACTCGTATGATCATGTGTTCTCTCCTTGGGTCCTTCTTTGATTGCTTTGCTCCAAAATCAGACTCACAGATTAGCTCAACTGATGAGAGTAACTTGAAAGTCCTGTCCTCAAAGAAACCAAAAAGCAAATCTCCGAGAGCTCCAATCATCGTGTCTTATTTTCCCGCAGGTTCGAACCTTTCGCGTCTGTAAGTGACAAATAGAAGAGAAGAGAAGATGAAGTGTTGGGATGTCGATTTTGTCCAAAAAAAGAAGTTTTGGTTGTAGACATGTTGTATGCGAAGCCTTTATTTTTTTGTTCCTCTTGTTTGTTTAGTTATGTTATGTACAAGTAGACCGTGTAGATTGATAGCATCGTATATATATGCTGTGTATTAAGACCAAATAAAAGATTAATGTGTTTGTATAAAAATGTTAAGAGCTTAGTATCACTTTCAAAAACTCATTGTCTCTCCAAAAGTTACATGGAATCAAAAACCGAAAAAATTGTCGAAAACTGATTAGTTTACGCAAATCCCTATTTCAATTCAGATTTGGTAGAAATGCAAGGAGAGCTGTATGAAAATTTTTGTATAAGACGTGTAGAAGAATTATTACAATGCTGAATTTGTTGGGAGCTCTGTTTTTCTCTGCTCAAACGTTTCCAACAATATTTAAAGCATTAAGCACAAGAGAACTCCATGAAACTTTGGGCTTTAAGGCCTTGTTGGGTCTTAGCCGTAATAATAGAAGCCCATAAAGACAAGACAAGACAAGACAGACGACAGAAGAAGACAAGAGTTTAAAGTGGAAGTTATCTTTCTCACGTGGTCTAAAGAAAGGTTAAAAAAAAAAAGAGGGAAAAAAAAAAGAAGATGAGAGAAAGCAAAGAGTAGAAGACTTTTTAGAAAGTAGAAAAAAGCAGAGAGAGTGTATTCAAAGTCGGAAAGAAACCCTAAAGAAGAGGATTGATTATGGGTGCTGTATCGATGGATTCGCTTCCTCTAGGTTTCAGATTTAGACCTACCGATGAAGAGCTCGTCAATCACTACCTCCGTCTCAAGATCAACGGACGTCACTCCGATGTCCGTGTCATCCCTGACATCGATGTCTGCAAATGGGAACCTTGGGATCTTCCTGGTTCGTTTCTTTTTCTCTCACAATTTGATTCTTTTTTGTTCTCAGATTCTGATTTCCCATTCAAAGATACTACCTTTTTTTTCTTCTTTTTGATTCAATTGAAACAAATCTGATGGTTGTCAGCTCTCTCGGTGATTAAGACGGATGATCCAGAGTGGTTCTTTTTCTGCCCTCGTGATCGGAAATACCCCAACGGTCATCGCTCTAACAGAGCAACTGACTCTGGTTATTGGAAAGCTACTGGTAAAGATCGTAGCATCAAGTCTAGGAAGACTTTAATCGGTATGAAGAAGACTCTTGTCTTCTACCGTGGACGAGCTCCTAAAGGTGAGCGTACCAATTGGATTATGCACGAGTATCGTCCCACTCTTAAGGACCTTGATGGTACTTCCCCTGGCCAAAGCCCTTACGTTCTTTGTCGCCTCTTCCACAAGCTTGATGATCGTGTTAATGGTGTCAAGTCCGATGAAGCAGCTCCTTCGGCCTGCAACAAATACTCTCCTGATGACACATCATCTGATCTTGTTCAAGAAACACCTTCCTCTGATGCTGCAGTGGAGAAACCATCAGATTATTCAGGTGGATGCGGCTATGCTCATAGTAATACTGCAGATGGGACAATGATTGAGGTATGAATGAAACTCTTGAATAACTAATTAGGCTTTTTAAAGGCGATTAGACCAATTTTGAGTTTGTGTTCATAGGCGCCTGAAGAGAATCTATGGTTATCTTGTGACCTTGAAGAACCACCGCGTATGGATTCTACATATGCTGGTGATTTCAGTTATGATGAGATTGGATTCCAATTTCAAGATGGTACCAGCGAACCAGATGTATCACTTACAGAATTGTTGGAGGAGGTGTTCAATAACCCTGATGACTTCTCTTGCGAGGAATCAACCATTCGAGAGAACACAGTCGCTCCAAATGGGATATTTTCATCTGCTAAAGTGGTGCAATCTCCAGCACCAGAGGATGTTTTCTTCAACGACTTTATGTCTTATACTGATACAGATGCCGAGATGGCGCAGTTGCAGGTGAGCACAAAGAAACATATTTTGAGACCTAAACAAGATGTTAAGAAGAAATTTCCTGGCAGAGTTAAGGCTGAGCCATCACTTAAGTTTATAAGTTTCCAAATTTTTCGCTTGAAGTAGACTAGAAACCTCTAGATCAGTTATCTTTACAATCACTCTTGACATTATCTATCATAACTTAAGTAAAATGACAATTTTCATCTTTTATTTGATCAGTATGGTTCAAATGGCGGAGCTTCTGGATGGCCAAGGGACAGTAGTAACTCATACTATAGTGATTTGGTTCATCCAGAGCAGATGCTCAATCGTAACACCGAGAACAACCTCACAGAAGGGAGGGGGATAAAGATCAGGGCTCGACAGCCTCAGAACCGGCAGAGTACAGGATTAATAAACCAGGGCATTGCGCCAAGGAGAATCCGTCTGCAGGTTCAGTCTAGCTCTAAGCCGCCTGATGAAAAGAATCAATCTGAAGTAAATCAGCAGGAGGAGGTGAATGAAGGACACACTGTTGTTCCCGAGGTAGGAGAGTAGTAATGTTTCTTAGACACCAATAACATAAATGATACATCTTTTTTTAATTTGTCGTGAATGTTGGGATGTGCAGACCAAAGAAGTTGCAGCAGAGAAGAGTGATTCTTTGGTTAAATCTCAAATAAAGCTCAGGGCGCGGGGAACAATAGGCCAAGTAAAAGCAGAGAGAATTGCAGACGACGAGGTAAGAATGAGTGAGACATGAATGAAGAAAGAGTATAGTAGTAAGCTCTACTAAATATAGAATTAAAAAAAGGAGAACGGAATCAATAGAGCATGTGAGAGCTAGTAATGATAAACGAAACTGAGTAGTATCTTTGTCTAAAGAGAAAGTTGTTGTGGTTACAGGTACAGGTGCCGGGCAAAAAGAGAAGAGAAGGGAAGCGATGGAAGGTGGTTGCAACGGTAATGGTGGCAGTGATGGTGGTGGCAGGGGTGGGTATATGGAGGACACTGGTGAGTTCATGACACATGATGAGACAGAGATGTTGAAAATCAAGAGTCGTTTAATGTGTAAACTATAGTAGGGATTAATGTAATGTTAGCATGTTTGTGTGTTGCTGTAACTTAAAAGAACTTGTGTAGGAAAATGTTTGTTATAGTTAATCTAGACACTGTTGAATATACACGAACGGTCAAGATTAAAAGCATCAACATCTTAATTATCCACTTGATAAATCCCGCCACATCACGACTCTATTTAAAAAAAAAAAAAAAAATCTTTTGGGAAATCTGAAATTTTATTTAAATTAAACACCGCATCAAAAAAATATCTCAATCGTCGTCTCTCCTCAAAATTCAAAAAACCCTAAAACGTTCTCAAAGGTAAGCTCGGTCGAACTCGCCGCCTCGTCTGAGTCAACTCCGAGTCATTCCTTTTCCTCACTTTTTTCTTCCTCTGTGACAGATCTCGAGATGAAAGATAACCAAACGGAAGTTGAATCTAGGAGCACTGATGATAGGTATCTTTATCTTAATCCGTAATCTAGAATCTTAGATTCAATTTGTTTCCGCAGTTTTTCAAATCGTCTTCTATGATTATCATCAGATTGAAAGTTAGAGGTAATAAAGGTGGAAAGAAAACAAAGGATCCAAACAAGCCTAAGAAACCTCCAAGTCCTTTCTTCGTCTTCCTGTAAATATCACTAATCTCTCTCTCTTTTTTCACTAATTTGATTTACTGTTTTAAGATTAGTATACTAATTACTCTGCCGGGTGATTTTAAAGGGACGATTTCCGAAAGGAGTTTAATTTAGCTAACCCTGACAACAAATCCGTCGCTAGTGTAAGTTTCTACTAGTTTGAGATTTTACAAATGCAATTTTTTGAATATGAATTATCTTAGTTTATTGTTTTGCAAATTTAGGTTGGTAAAGCTGCTGGAAAGAAATGGAAATCGATGACTGAAGAAGTAAGTGTGTTTTGGTTTTGGTTCAAATTTTATAATCTGTCTGTACTCAATTTCTTAAGTTAATAATACTCAATTTCTTAAGTTAATAATACCAAAATATATCCAATGAAACAGGATAAAGCACCTTTTGTAGCAAAAGCAAAGAGCAAAAAGACTGAGTATGCTGTGACTATGCAACAGTATAACATGGAACTGGTAAACCATAACCAAAATATTCTTCTCTTTTTTTTTTTTTTTGGCTTTTTCTTGTGTTGACAAATATATGTATGTTTATTGGTCAGGCTAATGGAACCAAGACAGCTGGAGATGATGAGAAACAAGAGGTTTTGGCTTAATTTTTTTTTAGTAAATCTCGCATTGTTTTTTGCTCTCTTGTTGTTGTTGTTGTTGTTGTTGTTGTTAGTGTTAACACTTGAACCGTTTTTGTTTTTTTTTACAGGAGAAAGCTGATGATTAGGAAGTTGGATCAGTGATTTGTGTATCGAGTATTTCTGTTGTGTTATGTGTTTTTTAGCTAGTTTTTAGGGAGAAGAATTGTTACGTTCCTATTTTCTCCTTTCTGTTAACTGTGGGATTGTTCAGATGTAACTTTTACTTCTTATGATTACTTTGGATTTAGCTTTGAGCTTCAGTTCTACATATTATGAGATGATATCATGTGTTTGCAAGCTTATTCAGCTCTCTGTCTATCACTGGTGAAAAGGAAATAATTTGGTTTTGTTCTTATGTTGTTTTTGTCTGATGTTGTGCTTGTCTTTTGTCATATTGTGGGATCTTGTTCCTACTTGAAGCATTCAATGTTGTTATCATCTTTGGTGAAATTGAATCACTGGTTAAGAGTTTGAGATTGAAATTGAAATTAAGAGCACTTTTCCATTGTCTAATGTTCAAAACTCTCACACTTGTATAAATTTGAAGAAAGTATTTACAGTATTGTTTAGCAACATGGAGAAACAAAATGAAAGCTAATTTTGACATGCTCGAGAGAAAAGAGTGCTAAGGTTTTGAGCTCTGTTTATTGAACTCAACAGCGCTTAGTAGTTCCTTTGCCGTAAAGGAGAAAGACTTTGCAGTATCTTCCATTTCCGTCGTCCTCAAGCTAATTCCCTGCAGAGATACATTCAAACAGAATTTGGAGTACAGAGATGAATCAATCAAAGATTCGGTTAAGTCTGAAAAGCCATGAAAAGTACCTGTAACTTTTTCAGGTTGTCTTGAAGTTTGCTCTGAGCCATTTTGGCAGCTCCCATTTCCTGCAGACACCAATGAAGATGAAATCAACGAGAGCCAGAACTACAAACTTGTATAAGGCTTATAGAAGCTTACCTCGGACGAGGTAAACCCGTATTTCTTCTTGATCTGATCGACTGTGGCGCCGTTTTTCTCCTCATGCTTTTCGTCATTGGTTACAACACTCTTCTCAGTCTTAGCTGCCATCTGTTTTAGCTTACCTTTGAAATTGCTAAACCTATTCGCCATCTTCTGTTTACTAAGCCCTGACAATAACCCTTGTTCTTTAGGCTTCTCTTGTTGTTGACTATACTGATGATCGTCGATGTCAATGTCATCTTCAAAACGTCAAAAAGAAAAAGATAAGACATACGCCAAACTCAAATATTGCATCACGGAAGGACATCAAAAGTGGACCATACCTATGTCCAGCTCTTCTTCATCTTCCACTCTAGTAATTGTATTGATCTCTCTACTACTCTCAACATTGTTGTTCCATGGGAAATTAGCCGTTGCAAAGATTTTAGACAGCTCCTCGACGGTTTCCTTGAAGCTTTCTGGTTCTGTATCAGTTGCGCGCTTTGATTTAGTCTTGAAAACAGAACCAAACATACTCTGCAACAAACAAGATAAGATGAATGAGTACTCATACTTCTGTTTGTGTGTAACAGAAAGCCATAAATCCAATGTTTAACCTTCTTTTCCCTTGGAGATGATGATGTGATGATTCCTTCGTGACAAACCGCGTTATCTTTCTTGTAAACTCGGCTCATGGACTCGACAAGCCTGGAATAAAAGATTCAGTTTTGGACTTTTCATCTATGTGCTAATCAAAGGATCATTCAAATCTTACCTAAATATGTCTTTTTGAGGTAAAACTGAGCTGACAATAAGTTCATCATCTCCATTCACCTGCAAAGAAAAAAGATGAAAATCATATACCAAAATCCAGCTCTAGAACTGACTACTTGCAGAGTGTCTGTTGTGAAAGTTACCATGACTAGATCTCCATCCCAAGAAGCGGATATGGTAGTCTCTGGTAACGAGTTTGGTTTTGGTGAAGAATATGTGAAGCCTCTAATGGAAGTTTGTTTTAGCAGGGAGAGTTCTGGCAAAGACCTGAGGCAAGTCAAAGCATTTAGAGAGAGTTTTTGCTAATATGAAGAAAGAAGAAAAGGCAGATGTGTTTTCACCTTATCTCAACAGTTCCATCTGTGAAAACAAGTGTAAGACCAACACCAGAGGTTCCATAGAAGGTGGAAGCTGAGCAAATAGGTGAAGAACTGAACTTTTTCTTGTGAAGGACCTTCTTCACTCCTTGGACAACGTGAGCCAGGGAGTAGATATATATAGCTTTCTCCGAGCAAACCAAAACCGAAGGCTGCCTTATTGAAATCTCCTCAACTGTGCTCTCTCTGCTCGTATCAAATCCATTTCCTGAAGTATCTTGTTTTCCATCTGCAAATAAAGATGAGAAAAATCAATGACATCTTGATTGTTGATTTTAACTTATAAAAGCGAGAGGTGGACCTACCTAGGATCTGCATATATAAAACCTTGAATGGCTTTTTTGGCTTAATCATGTTGGTTCCAATCATATTTCCCGTGTCGCTGTCCAAAGCAAAAACTGATGAGTCTCTCATAGCAACCACTAACACGTTCTTCTCGAAGCCTTGAACACTGCAACTCTCGAATTGCAAGGAGATGATCCCTGGACAGATATCACTTGCAATGTGTTTTGTGTATAACACATTTGCTTCCTCAATGTCAACCAGAGAAACCTGTAAGTAAACCGGTATTAACGCAGCAATCACTTCAACTAAAGAATCCTAGAAGGAAGAAGAACAAGCTTACATGTCCTTGATCTGATCCAATAGCGAGATGTTTCGAGTTTTGGCTTTTCTGAATACAGGTTATGGAACCAGTAAGCTTTACGGACTTAACACTTTGAACAATATGGCTATTCCCTTTCTTTGAGCTTCCTGAAAAACAAAAGAATAACAACTTATGAAGACACATGATTTCTTAAGGATAGTAAAGCCGACTTCTGTGTGTTCTAACATACCTTGAAAAGGAATAAAACTGTTTTCTGTTAGGTATGGCTCAGGTTTGAACCTATAAAGGCGAACCTGCACAAGTTTAAAATCGATCATAAGCCACTATGTAGTGACATTCCATAAAATAAGTTGAGTAAGATGCCTTTTACCATTCCGTTATGATCACCAGAAACAAGAAGTCTTGAGTTGCTGTCATAATGCAAAGCTGTCAATGCCGCATTTCCGCGTGAAGATATATCTTGATCGGTCTGCAAATGAACACACAACAAATGCAAAAAACCTTTCAAAAGATCTGCGTTTGCGAAAAAACACAAAAGAGTCCGGGAACTTTTACCTGTTCTTTCAGAAACAAGAGAGGAATGAGAAAAGGACAGGTCATGTCCCATACACCAATGGTTCCATCACTGTGTCCTGTGATGTAAACATTCTTAACCTTTGTGAAACCAGGAAAATGTGCAGAACGGGAACCTTCCTTTGGAACTGCCTGAAAAGGAAGAAACGGCGCAGCATCTTTCGCCAGCTGAGCATAATCCTGCAGCATAATAGAATCACAAGACTGTTCATTTCATTCTAAACTTAATGCATCAATCTGAAAATAGAGATTTACCTCATCTGATAGATTAAGTAAGTGTGAAGGATTTGTGAGGAGTTTTCCTACTGTGATGCTGCTTGAATCTGAAAATGGCAGCTTAACCACAGTTTCCTTTGGGAGAGAAGGAGATGATTTGGATTGAGACTGAATCAGATACTTCTCGATCATATAATCATCGTAAGCATACACACGTCCAGACTTTCCAAGAACAAACAGATAATCTTGTTTATGCTTGCTTTGTTCACTAACATCAGCTATGATCATCTCCATATCAGCACAAGGCTCAGAGACATGAAGTCCCAGCTTGATCATCCGAGTTTCGGTTTGCTCATTCAATAAAACCACCTGCAACGAGTTTGAGGATGATCCAATGACATAAACCCGGCTTGCTTTCCCTTCAGCATAAACCCATTTCAGAGAAGCTATTGGTATCTTCTCGGATTTGTATCCGAGGTTTAGCTTGCAAATCATAGCAGAACTCTCTGGCGAGCTTTCGCCTTTGGAAGGAATGCTCCATATTAAAATATCTCCATTGCTATAGCCAACTGAAACTCTGCTTCCTGAAGGACAAACCCAACAAGCACAAGTCGCTTTCTTCGCCTCTTGCTTTACCATCCCGTGTACTCCTGTTTTCAGAATCGGTTTGCTTTCTTTGATGTCCCATAACGCTATAAACCCGCTACTAAATACCAGTAGAATCCTGCAATGGAGCATAAGTGTAGATGACTCATAGGCTTATGATCACCACAAAAGATTTGTTGATTTGTTACCTCTTGCTTTCAGCTGTTGGCTGTGGTAGAATGCTCACAACTGAAGTATCCTCAGAAGCTTCAACGGGAGAGCCTACGCAACAACAAGATGTTTCAAGATAGACTATTCGATCCATGTAAAAGTTAAACTGAAGAAGCTCTTTTTGGTATTTGATTAAAATTACCATTTGATGCTAGGTAAGGTATAGTGTACTCCATTTTTATAACTTGATTAGATTCTTGTTCGATTTTAAACACCGATACATTACCAGAAGAATCTCCAACGTAACTGCCAATCCAAAATCACACTTGCATTCATTATCAGAAGATCAAGAAACTATGCAAGATTATTACCAAAAGAAGATGAGAATTGAAGCATACAAGTAAGGGGTATGTTGCATAACCCGGAAAGAAGTGATCTCGCCGTTGAAAAGATGAACATGAGACAGAAGCTTCTTGTCTAAGTCCCAAACCTATTGGAACTTCATCTTTCAGACCAGATGCTACTTCTATACTACTCGAGTTGATTCAAGAAAATTCTTACCTCAATCTGGTTCTTGGCATTCACATTAAGAAGAATTCCTTGGTTCTGAACAAACTGGACAATGGAGGAAAATATTGTTGTCACGGCTATGTAATTGTAACACAGAAACAGGATAAAGAGGAAAGAAAGAGATAAATGAAGTGAACAACACCTCAAGAAACCTGCTTGTGGATGTTTCTTCAGACACTAGTAAAGCTTGAGTCTGATCTTTCCCAAACAGTTTGATTCTACCATCTCTGAGAATCAAGAACCGAGATTGGTATGAATACGCAACAAACAATTTTAGAAGAGCTTCTTTTTTTTTAGAACTCTTACTTGGTGGAAACAGCGAGGATCTTCTGAAATGGATCATAAGCAAACAAGTGAGAACCTGAAGGGATTCCATAATGCAGAGCAACACGTGGCTCAACGTCATTAGCTCTCAGTCCTTCCGTTGAGCTTCCTCCAGGCTATATCACAATGGAGGGAAAAGGTAAGACTTTGCAGACTGTTCTTGCTAGAACTAAACCGGCCGGTTCGGTTGGATGACACTAAACCGGCCGGCTTGAATATGGATAAGTACAAAAGTCAAAGGATAATTGGTGATTAGAAAAATAAATACAGACAGCAATTTGGATGCGAATTTAATGCAACTTTTCAAAATTTAGGACACGAAACATGCGTGGCAACATAATTCGTCTTACGTCATCATTTTTTTTTTTTTTAATGAAAGTGGATTAAACATCTGGGCTAACCAGGAACCGACACAGAGTCACAGTCACATTCAAGTAATAAGATCTGTGTAATAATCCGACAAAAATTAATCATCAAATCATATCCTAATATACATTAATTCTGTGAAATCAATAAAATAATAAGACCCAGGGGAAAAAAAAATCAAATATTATTCTAAGATGGATCTAACATCGATTTCGGTAAATCAGGATTTCGAAATTTGATAAGTTTTGAAAAAATCGAATCACAATTTTGAACCTTTGTTCACTGAATCTCATAAACCCAACCGCAGAAAGAAGATGAACAGTTGAAGAAGATTAGAAAGAAGGAATCAAATAATGGGATCGTATAAATTGGATTAGTACCTTCTTCGCTGCTATTTCGACCAACTTCTTCACGAACATCTTTATCGACCGGCCAAGTGAACTTATCCGCAGGCCGCAGCGATCAATTGAAATAGACAAAGATCAAAACACGAAATGTTTAGGAGAGTTCAATTCCTCGGACATTAGAGGGAAGAGGAAGGAGAGAGAAAGAAGAAGTGAGTGTTGAGAAGTAACGGTTCCTTTGATTTGACGGTTTTTTATAAACGGCAAAAAAAAATTAAATTAATCATATAACATTTATTTATGGCAACATATCAAACTTATTACTTCATTTTTTAGTCAAAATTCCTAAATATCTGGGATGTAATTAAGAGTAATCGTTTCAATTTTCAACACATTTTGAAGAATTTCCAACAAATTTGACCTAACCAAAACAAAACGATTCAAGGAAATACACATTTTGTCCCTTCAAATGTGTATTTTTAATATTTTGATTCCAAAGACAAATGGCATAGTATTCGTGACAAAAGAATATTTAAACTATCATAAACTTGGTTTTACGAATTAAACAATTGTTGTATTCTGCTAAAACTCTAACGTCGGATACTCTATTGATCAAAGCATTGCTACCACAAAAACCTTAATCCATGCGATAAAGTAAATGTAGGAAAATGGTCCTTATTATTAACTCATCCAACCAACACATGAGTAGAGTGAAAGATCAATAGGCAAAAAGCCAAACTCAAGAAATATTATTGGTTTTAATGCAATATTCAAATTCTACAAAGTCTACTGCACCTCAAAAAAAAAATGATAGTCATGAAATTGTGGGGTCCACTTAAAATAGTACACGTGGCAAGTGCTAATCTGCTATATGGGTCCCCCTAGCTGAAGTTGGTGATCTAATCTGACCTTTGTTACGTGATCTCACGAGAGACGTCCGATTTCATATACATGGACGGTGAAAGATCATGCTGCCTTTTTCTTTGAGAACTCTGACCACCGACTATTTTGATAAATAAAAATGGAAATACATACTTTCCTTTTGTGTCTTTCATAAAAATAAAACTATTTCCAATTTTCATTTTCTATTACGATTTCTTTAGCGTAATAGATTGGGCTGTATATGAAATGAAAGCAACATAAAAAGTTAATACATTTACAAGTATAGAGAAACGGTTTCTGTAATGACATTAAAAAATCGAGACACCAAAAACGTGAAACTTTAATAGAGATTCGGTTATTAGTGCGAAGTTCGATATTTGATCAAAATCAACAAATTGTAACGTCTAGCTAGTGACTAAACAAGAACAGAAAAAGTATTACTATTTTTAGTTTAACCAATATTGTTTCCGACAGGTAAAGATCGTGAAAAGAAACTCCGTAAGATAAAATGGAAGTATTTGTAGATGTTAAGTTCCTACCGTCAAACTGGTGGGCTGGGCTGTTAGGAGAGATTGAATATAGGCCTGGATAAATCATTATTAAGTACGGGTGCAATTGATAAGAATGAACACGAACACCCAATAAACACATGCTAAAACTCTGATAATGAGCACGTCTCTTATATATTATTTAAGTTTAGAACACCAATTGCAATAATTTGAGAGGAAGGTGTCCTCGTTGACAAATGGAAAAGAAAAAAAAAAGGAGAGAGAGATATCAAGTTTTTGTTAATATTTATACTTTTTTTCTTTTACTTTTCACAATCCTACTAAACCTTTTTTAGGAGCATAGATTACAAGGATAGGCGACACTATACTGTAAAATAAATACAAAAAAATTGATAGAGAAGAAAGCATAAAATATGGGTAGAAGACTAGAGAAGCTATAGGTACACCAAACTCTCCTATCTAAATGAAGAATCCAAAGAAGCTGGGCCAAAGAGAATCCAATGGGTTATATTCTGGCTCATCACTAAGTCGGTCATGTAATTAAGAATATGTAGACACGGACAAATTTGTATGAAACTATTTTCTTCTATATTTAAATTCCCTATCATTTGGTCGATTGATAATGCTTACATAAATTAATGTCTTGTTCTGGATGTTTCCGTTTGTGTGGTCTCTATATTGTCCGGGTGGTTGAATGTTCTACTCCTAGATGTACATAAACCTTCTTACACATTGTGACTCAATCTCACATTTATTAAAATTCAATATTTTAAACTAGAAAAATTCATTAAAGATAATCTTAAAAGGAAGATAAATTATTCTTTACAAAATAATGATTATTATACTAGTAAAAAAATTAAATTAATTAATGAGCTTTGTTAGTGTAAAATCTCAACTATACTTGATCAGAAAATCATCTAATGTATATTATATAAAAAATTTATAAAGGTTTTTCAAATTCAAGCCTTTATCGAAAAGTGTTTAAGGATAATCAAAATAATTTTTCATTCTGTTCTGTACTTGTTAATATATATAATTCAAGTATTAAAATGTTTAAATTTTGTGAATATTAATCTAATTTTCCTATCATCTAATGACAAGAAATAAAATTTATCTATATTTGTATGAATATGGACTTTTTGGCATTCATATAGACTGCTTGGTCTCGATACTTGACTTAGGGTCGCACATGCAAACCTCATTATTTTCTTCCATAATGTTGACAATTAAAAAATTACTCAAACGAAAACACTGTCGGAAACGATGAGACGTTATATCAAAAAGAAAAAACGACGATACTAATTAAATAAACAAATGTTTCGATATTTTTTTACGTATGGCTTATCGTATAATTTTTTTTTTTTTTTTTTTTTTTTCGTATCGTATAATTTACGTAAGGCATTGGCTTGAATATAATTGTGAAGCAAGTAACTTCAACTTTTGGCTGACGAAAGTTAAAAAGTAATAATTTGTATATTAGTGTAAAAAAGGTCACAGTATCTAAGTAGAAGAGTTAATTATTTACACGTTCCGACAAAACACTACGCCCCCGACTACGATACGGCATGAGTCATGACCACATAATACATACTATATATTTTTCTTTATTTTCATGTTTTTGTCGACCATGGTCACATTTCATTGTTTGGCCTTGTTTATTCTATAGAGATCAATTTCATTGGTTTTTCTTTTGTTTGGCAATTAATGAGTCAGATTAGATCATATTAAAATCTAAGTGCCCGTGGAACATGGGCGGCGGACACCGACCACCTACAAATTCTACTGTTTAAACGACACGTGGAAACTATTGCTCCCTAATTTTTTTTTTTTTTTTTTGGGGTCGCCGCTCCTTTAACTCGCTACAAGTCTGACTGGCCTAGCAATTGTTTTTGAATTTTTCATTTCTATCATGGGTTTTCTTAATTTTGAATTAGATGATCGGGATTGCAAAAGACGGTGAAGCTAAATAATTGAGAAAAATATATAATCTGGGATGTGTCAGAAAAGTTAGATCGCAACCTCAATTTATCAATCAACGGAATGTCAGTTAATCGGTCAGGAAAAGAGGAAATTAAAGTTTTATTTATTTTGCCACAAGTGCTCTTTATCGCATATTTAAAAGTTGTGTAATACCAATTTGACTGTTGACCAAAGAATATAACACGAATTGGACTAAAAAAGCAAAAGGAAAAAACTGGAAAAAGCTAAGCAAGCTTTTCATACATCATTTATAAATTTATATATATATATATATATTTTTTTTTTTTTTCGCCATTTATAAATTTATATGTCACGACATTATTATGAATATTAGAGCTAAAAGTGTTTGGGACTTGGGAGATGCTAGTAGTTTCAGAGTTTTACGATTTAATATCAGATTATTTGGCTATAGATTTCGATCAAATCATTTGTCTAAAATCGCTTTAACAGAAAACACTCTATTTTCATCATTTTTGGTGTAAACAAAATACATAACGTAAAGAATGGATACAGGAAAAAAAATAAAAATATAGTAATTCAGTTTCTTGAAAAGAACCAACCAACGACTATAAAAACTAACAATCTACTTCATTGATACGATCAAACTAGCTATTAATATATGTATCAAGTCGATTGCATCCAATAGCATGTTATTTCCATAAATAAAAATAGCAACGGCTATCTCCAACTATAATCAAATAACATTTAAACTATGGTAATGTAAATATTTAGATAAGGAAGTAGCCGTTTAACATTTCGTATAAATTCTCAAACGGTCAAATTCCAAAATAGAAACTAAATAACCGTTGGTTAAATAGTTTCCTTTAATGATCCTATGATTTGTCAAAGAATCATTACCGTCCTCTTCTTATTATTTTTCCTTTGTAATAAAACTATATATTATAATTTCAATATATACAGAACCAAAAAAATAAGATAAATTAAGCTTTTTTTGTCCTTTTCTGCCTTTACCTTTCCTTCTACTCCCGAAAAAGCACTGACTTTGCTCTGTTTCCTTCATTCACACAGAGAAAGATAGAAATCTTCTGAGCGAAATTCTGACAAAAGAGATGATGGAATGGGATAATCAGCAACAACCCAATAACCATCACTCTTCTAATCTTCAAGGGATCGATGTTAATGGCGGCTCCGGCGCCGGAGGAGGAATGTACGTGAAGGTGATGACCGATGAGCAGTATGAAACTTTGAGGAAACAGATTGCTATTTACGGCACCATTTGTGAGCGTCTTGTTGAGATGCACAAAACTCTCACTGCTCAACAAGATCTTGCAGGTTTCTTTCTTTCTTCTTTCATTTAGTTTTCTTCTTCTCTGTTCACATACAGATTTAAAAGGTTTCGTTTTTTTTTATAAATAAAATTTCAGAATTTTTGATTGATTTTTAGTGATTCTTCTTCACTTTGGTGAATGGGTAATTGAGAATTCTCTGCCTTTTAATCATTTGTTGGCTTAAATCTGACTCAAAGACTAATCCTTTTCGTGGATTTTTGTGTTAAGAATAATGGTTCTTTGGGAATTCTAGAATCGCTCCTTTGAATTCTTCAATTGAGCTTGAGAATTTCCCACCAAAAAAGGTGTTTGATGATGTGTTCTTGAGATATAAAGTTTTAGTTTTTTTTTTATGTAGTTTAACTTTCAACAACTCTGCTTCATTTGTTTGTGTTTGGTAACAGGAGGGAGATTGGGAGGTCTATATGCAGACCCAATGATGTCATCTATAGGTCACAAGATGACAGCTAGACAGAGGTGGACTCCTACACCGGTTCAGCTTCAAATTCTGGAGCGTATATTCGATCAAGGCACTGGAACACCGAGCAAGCAGAAGATCAAAGAGATAACAGAAGAGCTGAGCCAACACGGCGAGATTGCTGAACAAAATGTCTACAACTGGTTTCAGAACCGACGTGCTCGATCCAAGAGGAAGCAGCAGGGTGGAGGTTCTTCTGGAAACAATAATGGTGAGTCTGAGGTAGAGACTGAAGTTGAGGCATTGAATGAGAAGAGAGTAAGGCCAGAGAGTCTTCTTAGTCTTCCAGATGGAAATAACAACAATAATGTGTTAGGGACAACAACAACAACTACTACTACTCCTAGGCCTGAAGATCTTTGCTTCCAGAGCCCTGAGATGAGCTCAGACCTTCACTTGTTAGGTGTTCTAGCAAACCCAAGTAAGTAACAAAAAAAAAACCAGAGACATTGGCTTTAAAGAAATGGTCAATTGAGTTGTGTCTGTCTCAGATAATATCTTGTGATTTGTGTTTGTAGGGGATGAGCATCTTGTTGGAAAGATGGGACTGTCTGAAAGTTACAACCTTTATGATCATGTTGAAGATTATGGCATGTCAGGCTGATTAATACAACAAGCTGAGGAAACTTCTAATTATCAGAGAGATCAATGAAATGGATATGGTAGTCAGTCATAAGCAGTTTTAGACTTTTGTTTTCATTTATGGTTTTTTTTCAGGGCTTATTAAGAAACAAGTAGTAGTTTATCTTATTAATCATTTTCAGAAAAACATTTACATGGAATGTTGAATCGTCTTGTGATGCTTGCTTTGATAATTTCTGCATGCAGAACGATTTTTATATCTTTAAATAATTATACTGTAAAAAATAAAAAATTGATTCAGTTCTTACAATTACAAATAAAGCGTTTCAATTCAAACCTCTCCGGAGTCGAAAACATGCAACTCTAGCAAAGTTTTGTAATGACCTTTCTCGATTTCTTCCTCATTCACATTGTGTAAGACCAGAGTCTGGATAACCAAATCCTCCCAATCAATTTCAGATCCTTTCTTCCTTTTCTTCTTGCTATGTTCAAGCTCCAAAGACAACGCACCTTCACTAACAATGCCAGAAGGATGTTGTATGGTCTTAATCCGTAACTTAGCTGCCTTAATCTTTTCTCTTCGTCTTTCGACTGCAACGCAACCCTTTATGTAAGAAGGAGGCAAAGCATCAAGGCCTACATCTTTCTCCAACAAATCCTTGAGCAAAAGCCTTCGACTCAATTCCGATTTCCCTTTCCACCAATATTCACTTGAAAACATCTCGAAAGCTGATCTCCTTTGCCACATACTCTTATTATTTCCCTGACTTCTTTTCGCAAGAGTCCCACCACGAACTCGATCCACAAATTCATTATACTTTGTGGACAACTGTTTCTCCGATATATTATCATCGTTGTTACAGAAACTAAGCTGATGTTCACCTCCTACATCAAAATACCGAGACATAGTATCTTGACGATCATCATCATCATAACAATACATAGATTCTTTGCTTAGGCAGTCCCTCACTAAATCCTCCACACAAAATCCATCAGTTCTAACTAATTCATTCCCTGTCCTTCGTTTTCTCTTTTTCATGGACTTGGCTTCCATTAAACCAAACAAAGTCCCTGAATGTTTCACAACATTCTTCACAGTTACATCTTTCGCCCAAGGCAAACCCACCTCTTCAGCAACCTTCACAAGCTTCTCAGATAACTCTTTATACCGCGTTTTACAAGTAGTCAACGAAACACGAGCATCTTTCGCCAAATCATCAAACTTTACCTTCACACCATTCACTTGAACAACAAACGCCAAAACAGCCACAACTAAAGGCATTGGTCTCCTCCCCGTCGACAAAAACCACTTCAAAGCACAATTCATCAGAAAATTTCCTTGCTTTGTTATCCTCTCCTTTTTCTCCCTACCAACATCAGTCAATCTCGGTGAATTAGTCGCCGTCTTGGTAAACAAACCCACAAGATCAATCTCTCGCAATTCCAAGTCTAAATGATCCACAACACGCTTAACCACAGGCCCTAACTGATGCAAATCACATCCAACTTGACAAGCAATCTCTTCCATAGACAAAACACCTTTCCCTTCTTTTCTCACCTCAGCATAACAACACGCCCCAATCAAAATCGGGAACCACTCACCTTGTCCAAATTCCCCATCAGTAATATTATAAATCATACTCTTAATCGCTTCAGTTTTATAACCAAGATCTAATCTCTCTGTAATAACCTCAATCAAATTGTTGGCTTCATAGATCTTCTTCTCTTTATAAGCAAGAACAGAGCCTAGACCAATGGTACCTACTCGTATAAATGTACCTTGAGGTCCTAGTATGCCGCCAAGGTGTGCCTCATAATTATCGTACTCTCGTAATGTCCCACATCCAACGCAATACGAATTCCCTGTGTCTTCGCCGCGTTCAAAGTTGCTTCCATTGCATCTCTTGCAACGCATGATTCAAATCGAAAGCTTCACACTTTAAATTAGTTTTTTTTTCCGATAAGCAGAAGAAGAATGAAATTCGGATCGCCGGCGAATCGAGAGATCAAACTAATTAAGATTAGAAGATTTGACCTTTCATTAAAAATAAGCTAAATTAGGTTTTTATAATGCCGAGATAAATAAAACGGCAAGGTGTTAATGTGAATAAAATTAAAACGGCAGGGCGTTTAGATTTCTATATTGAAGATTTTTATTGAGGACGGCACACAGTTTGGATTATTTTCTCTCTTTTGGCTTTTTGTTGTCTCCTCCACCATAGTTCCGTCTTCTTTCTCTTCACCGGTAAGAGAAGCCGGTTTCAGATTTGATCTATTCGAAGAATTGCGGCTTTCGCTCGTCGGGATAATCCTCGCTTCTTCCTGTTTGATAGATTTCTACTGTGTTTTAGAGGACATTGTGTGGAGATAGTCGGCGAGATTTATGGGATTTCAACGAGTGTTTTTCTAATGCACGCATGTTGTTCGACGGAAAGCCGCAGAGAAGTTTTGTTGCTGTCTGATTTGACTGAGACTCAAAAGTTTGAAAATTGTTGCTTGGGTATTGAGAAGCTAGTCTTAGGCAGGCTCCTCTATGAGTTGGAGTAAACGACGGTGATGCATTGAGTGTTTTTCAACTAAAATAGCTTTCGAATGGTGAGCTCGTCTGTTTCAAATAAGAGATACACTTACATACATGAAAGTGAAAGTAAGTCAACTAGAGAAGCCATTGACATTCATCATGTGATTATCAACGGAGGCAGAGCAACTAGTTATGCCCGTCGTCGGGGGATTGGTTTCTTCCTTGTGCTTCTGGCGAGTTCTATGTACTTTTTTCTTGGAAAGGTAATCATACTTTTAGGGCATTGCCTTTGAGTAATTCTGCTTCTGAGGCATTGCTTAGAACTGCTTGACATTTGAGTAATTCTGAGGCATTGCTTAGAACAAGTTTTGCTAGTGCAAATTATGAGAAAGGCATACCATTTTGTTTATTACGATTGATGATGGAGTATAGTTTGATATTTTTCATTCTGTTTTGAGCAATATGTTAATGCATGACAAGGTTTTCATAAATTGTGTTACATTACAAGCTTGTTTTGTTGTTGTTCCATCTGTTTCTTCTTCACTCGAATTGAAAAGTGATAATTAACATGAAACAGGAAAATCCAGTTAAGACTCTTTCTTGGGGCTGCCTTTTAAGTGGTTTATTAGTTATGCTACAAAGTCGCAAGTTCGTCAAGAAAGGTGAGATCCTGGTTCATCATTGTATACGCTTTACAGGCTTGCCAAATGACATCAGTTTCACATTTTAATTAATTCTAGCTTTTCTTTGATTTGATTTGTTCAGAATCTGTGATAATCATGCCAACCTTCGGGATACAACTTGAAACTCAATATTTAAGGTATGCTTTATCCATATAGTTAGTATTCTTTTGTCTGCACTCCATGATGACTTAATCTTTTGAACTACTCCGTATTAATGGTCTCTAAGATAGGTGGTAATGGTGGAATTTGTTGTAATTTTCATGACCTATTCTCATCTATGCTTTTAAGTTTTACCAAGCACACAAGTACTTAATTTATTGTGCATGCTTCTGCTTTGCAGTGGAAAAACTGTCTCCAGGTTTATCCCTATTGGCAAGATTTTGAAGCCTGTGTTGGTCGAATGTGTCACTCCCATTACATGCTACTGGAGTCTCTCTTTATTTCTGCGTGGCGAAGAACAACTTACATTGGTGTTTAAGGTAATGGCAACAGTTTGTTTCACTACATTGTGAGAGAAAAACTTTTACCTGACAACTTTGAGAAACAATCAAGAGTTACCAATAATTCAATTCGGGAAGATTACTTATAGCAATTGATTTTTGAGTTCAATTTCCTCTTTGTACAGGAACTGCGTCCTCCATTGAAGATGCTGGTTCCCATTTGGAAAGCATTGTGTGCTGCTATCGGCACAGACCACCAAAGTGAAACGATAGTTGAAGAAGAACATGATGTATCTAGTTAACTGAAGTTGTGATTAGAGAACTTGTAGATTTGTTGCTTGCTGTTGGCAGTTTTGTTTGGAAGATGATCACACAATATGTTCTGTAATGGGAGAATTTGACAAAAAGAAAAAAAAATCTTGACTGGTGAATCTTTGGACCATGTATCGTCTGTCAAAGGAACTTTTACTTTGTAATCGAATGCAAAGAGTACAATGAGTAATATCAGCTTGCAAACTCTAGTGTAGTATCTTATTATACTCTAGTGTAGTATCTTACCTATAATAGCCTTTACACTATGTCTACGAGTATTGTAGCAAATTGAGAAAGTAGTTATTTACCGAGTCTATGGCTTAATGATACATGCGCAACATTTTTCAGCTTATAGTTTCATCTAAGAGCATCTCCAATGGTGAGAGCCCCCCATGGGCTCTCTCCCATTGTTTAATATAAATTATGGAAATTTGTAAGAAGAGAGCTTGTGTTTTTTTAAAAAAAAAATCAAAGTCCAATGGTAGTATCTCTCAAGTGGAGTTCTTAGAAAATGAAAAACTAATCAACTAGCTTTGAAGAATTATGCACTGTCTCTTCCTCTGTTCTTGGTCTTCCTTCATCTTCCATGACTCTCAAAAACTCTTCAAGTGCTCTCTGCATCCACTCGTACCGACAAAGCTCCAACGCTTCTTTAACATTCAACTACACATTTTCGAGTTATCTCAAAGTTAAAAAACTGTACTTCCTTATATGAATAACTACACATTTGAGTTTTGAGCTTTACCCATCTCCGCTCACGATTCTTTCGCTCTGGCCAATCCTCGAGTTCTTCGGTAACCTCTAATGCAAACATATATCCTTTACATCCACCTAAACATTCATCCTCCACTGTGCTACTTTTGCTTCTAAATTCCCAAACTCCTAAAGGAACTTCCTGAAAACAAAAACACATCTAATTCATACAGCTTTCACATAACTTCCTCAATGTTTTGTTTAAAACTTACTTTAAGTATTCCTTTAACACCTGCTTCTTCAATATGGCTTCACGAGAAGCAGCTTCAAGAAAGTCTCATCATCTTCCCATCCTCCCTGATAATAATATACATAACAAAAACATGAGCAATTACAAATGAGAGTAAAGCAGAGATTTTTCAATAAAAAATAAACCTTTGGGAAGACAAGATCATGACGATTAGGAGATGAAACCATAAGAACGTCAAGTTTGTTAACAAAGTCAACACTTGAGTCTTCTTCAATTTCGTCAGCTTTAATCAGCCTATAAGAAATGCATCTGTTCATAATGCTACATATTACTCTGAGGTCATTCACTTCTGAGACATTAACGAACAAATTTAAATTGTGAAACTAGCTGCTCCAATTCAAAAATGAAACCAAACTAGTTTCTGTTTAAATCAATCTATAGAGTTCCATTAACGATAATCTTATCTAGTTTCCATCAAATCAAACCATAACCCTAAGATTCGAAGAACAAAATCAATATGTGGAACCATGATTAAATGAAATTAAACAGAAAAATTAGGGTTTTCAATGGTATTACTCGACGAGAGAAGTTGATAAGAAATCAACGGACCTGGAGTAATCGGAGTAAGAAGAATCAGAGGAATTGGAGGAGTGTTGGTCTACGGCGTTTTGATAAGAAAACAGAAGGGTTTTTCTTTTCCTTTTGTTAAATAAAAGCAACCAATCACAATCTAATCTGTCATTCTCTGTTTCAACAGTCACTCAACCAAACATCAAATATTTTACCTTGATAGATTGTTGTTACACAGTAAAAAAAATATGAATGTTGTAACGGTAACGTAACTTTTCTAACCTTAAGCAATTTCCTATTTTCGCAAAACATGAAAAAAAAAAAAAAAGGAAATATCAGAAACTAGTCGGTCTAGGAAAAAGGAAATAACCAAACTTTCCTTTTTTTTTATGTTTTGAACCTTTGCTTATAAATACTCATATCTTCTTCTTCGTTGAGAAATCAAAAACCAAAAAATCATCTTTCATCTTCTTCTTCTTCTTTCTTTTGAGACCTGCAATTTCTCTTTTCGATCAGAGCTCTGAGAGACTGATCACTGATGTTCTTTCGATCTCTCGTGACAACATCTTCAATCAATCGAGTTCAGTTTTTAGTTCGTGTCTCCCTAATTTCACACGATCTAAGATCTCGCCACCGAAACGCTTTCACCGGAGGATTCTTTCGACGGCGACGAAGGATATTACACGACGGAGAAGGATGCGAGGAAGACGATGGCGAAGAGAGGGATAGTGAAATTGACGACCAGTTAGCACTTAGCAGGTTCGGTGTTTCGATGGCTTTAGACTACGAGTCGCCTGCGGAGGAAGAAGACCAATTTGTGTTTCAACGATCATCATCACCAAAATCCGGTTTGTGCTTTCACCAAAGTCGCAAGTGGTGGATGATGTCACGAGAGAGTTACCGATGGCCTCAAATTTGGAATGGGCGTTTTTGTATGAGGCCTTCTATGCTACCAAGTCCAACAAGGTATGAAGGTACTACTTTCTTCATTCTTATTTTTGTTTTTGTTTCCTTTTTTTTTTAAAGATTAGTTTAAATATTAAATTAGTTTTAAAAAATTAACTGTTAATTAAAACAATTAAACTCATGGTTTCAAAAATAATAATTATTTAAAATTATAAATAAACACTTAAACTTTAAAAAATAATTAACCAAAACCATGTTAAAAACATTATTAATTTTTAAAAATTAGTTTAAGTGTTAAATTTTAAAAACGTCGAAAACTAACCGCGCCTAGGCATCATGTCCTTAATTGGTCCGTAAGCTTTGGTGCTCAAAGTTCGGCATGTTTTCACGTAATATAGATTTAACACTTAAACTCATTTTTTAAAATTAATAATGATTTACATTAAAATTTAAAACAAATTTAACACTTCAACTTTAAGAAAATAAGCTTTTAACCAAAAACCATGTTAATTTCATTATTACTTTTTTAAAATTAGTTTAAGTGTTAAATTTTAAAAACGTCGAAAACTAACCGCGCCTAGGCATCCTGTCCTTAGTTGGTCCGTAAGCTTTGGTGTTCGAAGTTCGGCATGTTTTCACGTAATATAGATTTAACACTT